TCTCTGACCAAACGTCTTTAACGATTTTTTTTCTTTAAAAAATGTAATTGAATTCTTGTTAGATTTGTTTTTCATCCCAACAGTCTTAGACTCTAACCCCTGTAGTTTGACTTTTTTTCCCTTGAAAAAGTACAATTATTCTCTCAAGATTCCATTTTTTTTCATTCTGCCAAAATGTCTTTTTTGTTTGTAAAAATGACCTTTTTTTTTCCTGTGACAAAATACATCTTTGTATTTGTGAACATTAGTTATTTTTCTTTAAAAAGTTTTGAGATCACGGCACACAATTAAATCTCTTTTTTTTTCATGGTATGGCTTTTTGAGACTTTTTTTGCGGGTCTATTCATAGTAGATATACCTCCCAAACTTCATGTAAATAAGCGAAACTGGCTTACAGGGCTGAATTTTCTCAACATTCCTTGGCCACTATTGAGCCATAATTTTTGTTCACAGCGCGTGACGGCAAAATCTTTAGCAAAAGAACCGTCTTAAGACTATTCATTTCAAACCCGTCTACCAATGGCATGCTGCAAAGTGAAACTGGCTTTGGAGGCTGAATTTTCATTGTTCATGACCTGTGACAGCAAAATTTTAGATGTATTAAACACTCTTTTGGGACACGGCTTCTTGAGTCGTTATTTTTTTTTTGGGGGGGTCCGGGGGGGGGCAGGGGGAGTTTTTTTTTTTTTTTAGCTTGTGAAATTGGCTTTGGACGTATGTTGTGATGGACAGGTGGACACAGTGGGGAAACAAGAAGGTTCTGTGCAATGACATTATCCACGTTTCAGCTGCGACAGCACGAGAATAGTTTGGGGGGTTAATGCCTTTGACGGGCGAGCGTGCTACGTGGCGCAAATACTTAAAAGGCTCCCGACCTTGCACGCGCTCAATCAAGACGGCCAAACAGCTGAGGCAGACACGTGAAGGTCGAACACGACGGAGGATTCAGAATTAAACCAAACGGGAAACGAGTCATCAATAACTCGGTGACAGGAGCTCATCGTCACCACGCACGCGTTGGCCAATAATTACAGTTGACTTTGACGGACAATTATTATTATAATTTTTTTTTTTTTTTTAACTTGTGCGACAGTGAGCCCCCGTTTATCGCGAGGAATACAGTACGTTACAGACCGACCTGCAACAGGTGAAAATTCGCAATATACAAAAGTAGCACACTACTGTATTGGAAAAGCATAATTCAACAGAATGAAAAGATCAAACAGTTTTTGCGTCATGTGTTCGGCTCCTTTTGGTGTGGCGTTATACATGAAGATGGTTACAGCTGCTCAATAAGCTAATTACTTTTTTTTTTTGCACAGGATAAAGAATATGCATATGCTTGTGAGTGTTGCTATATTGTTAGCATAAACGTGTTGCTGCACCTTAGTGTGATCAAATATCTGTTGCTTCAAGGTGGAACCCCTCAACATTGAGATTGATGCAAGTTTGATTAGCCATTTAGCATGTTAGCATTAAGCGCACATTCACCTGACAGCGAGGCCGACTATTTGGCTGAACACACACGTGATTCTCTTTGTTTGATTTTTTTTTCCATTAATTTCCTGCTGAAAGTGACAATGAGCAGCATGAAGCAAGCAATTGCCCTCAGTTGAAAAATTATTCACCATTTGCCGAAAACGCTGCCGCTCAAAACTCAAAATTTTTGCTCATAATTTAAGACCAAAAAATGACCAAGAAACAGCTCGTACGGTTTCTTGAAAGACTCCTATGCCGAGTCACTCGTAAATCGAGGTACCACTGTATATTAGAACACCAAAATGATCAATAAAACGATATCATTTCGTCTCACAAAAGTCCACGAGTTTAATGCAAACGCACAAGCTAATGATATTAGCATCCGACAACTGCTCCTTTAACACACACGTAGCAGCAACGTATTCCGTATGAACAGATTTTACGACAATAATCTGAGGCAAAATATTGTCTTTGCTATCTCTGGAGTTTAGTTGGGGGCCTTTTCTGCTTCTTGCTCTGAATTACGCTGCTCCTCCTCTCCTCCTGTAAGTGCTTCTTCCTGACTTGTTGCGACACAACATGGCACCACACTTCGGCGCCTCCATGCAACCGCGTGCGCATGCCAAATCTGATAAATTTATACCCTACAATCAAGCCTGACGGGGATTACCGAGGGATTACGATATAGTCACCACAGTGGGACGCCGTCACATGCTAGATCAGATCTCCCTGGCGGGGGAACCGGCATGCGATGCGCCTGCAGGTCCTCCCAGTGCCACTTTGACACCTTTGACAAAAGGTGGCAACAATGTCGGCAGGACGCTCCTTCTGCCGGTGTCGTCTTCTGTGACGGCGACGCATGACAAGTTTTGGAAGCAATAAATTCAGTTAACGCTGGAAAATCCAGTCCTTTAGCAAGGTCACACAAAGAGCTCGGATTAGCTGAGAGGCCAACTTGGCTGTCTCAGGGGAGAAATTCAAATTTGCAGCTACCAACGGGGAAAGAAACCGAAGTGTTTGGTATCGGCGATAGTAAGGGTCCGTGAGCTGTAGCAATATTACAGTGAATCAAGTTGTAACTTTTGAAATTCTCCTGTTAAAATGTCATAATTGGACTTGAATCCGATTACGATCGTGGAAAGACATGATTGTATCCCCAAAAGATTGCGACTTTTTACACCGACAAAATGCGTCTTTGTTCAAGTAAAAGTTGGCAGCATTTTGTTTGAAAAAAATAGGACTTCAAATCTGTACTTGTTAAAGAGAAATTGCATTGAAGTCGTAGAGAATCTTTGTATCCTGACAAATTACAGCTTGAATTTTTGATTACCCTCACTATTCTTGGAAAAAATATAAATATAATAAATACAAAGTATTTTAATGAGATTGACTTTTTATCATGAAAGAAATTTCACGTTGACCTTCAAAAGTTGCGAGATTTTGATCTTGAAACATTATATTTTAAAGTTTCGATTATATATTTTTTTCATCAAAACATGAATATTCCCCAGAAGGTTGAGTTTTTATTCTGATAAAATATTTGTTCTTGAAGATTTTTATTTTCTTTAAAAAAAAAAAAAAAATTTCAACTTTATTCCCTTAATATGTTTTAAAAATGTGTATACCGACAAACTACATCTTTGTTTTCGTAAAGGTTTTTATTCTTAATAGAATACACCTCTTATTCATTTCATATTTTAGAGTTATATGAATATATTGTAACATTACAAATCTTTCTGGGCAATTTTTAAAATCCACATCCGCAGTTACATTTAATTCACAGGGGGTACTTAGGAAGACATTTTCCCTTGGATCCCAAAAAGTTTGAGAACCTGCGATAATGATGTCAGTTCACGGCAACTGCCAAGTAGACCGTTGGCAGATTAAGTCTGAAAAATGAAGCAACGGCCTCGAACGTAATGTCACGAGAAAGAGTGGGCTGACAAATCCTCTTGTTCTCCATTTGTTGCATTAAACACTGGCCACCATCTGTTGTGTTGGAGCACACGCCGCAACAGCAGCCAGGCGGCAGATGCCACCCTAAGAGCCCCGGTCAGTGGCCCCGCGCTGCACGCCGGCCTGACACTCTAAAAATACCGCTCTGAGCTGCCGTTAATGGCCTCTCCGTTACGGCGCAACGAGCAGCGTCGGGGCCGCTAAAATAAGACAATGAACTGTGGTGTGGATGACTGCGTATTTGCACAACACAACTTGACGGTTCAACTGACTTCAGAGTCGGGCAGGTTGACGACCACTGGGCACTGTGCGGTACTCGAAGGAAAAACGAGCCCAACATGATCAGTTTTTTGAGTCAGAGCAATCACAGAGGACGCAAAAACCTGCAGAGAAACGAAAAAATAGACGATATTAATATCACGCCGTTGAGGGTCAGGGGATGGGCCACTGGGGTGAGGCCATCTGACTTACCGTATTTTCCGCACTATAAGGCGCTTCGGACTATAAGGTGTGCCTTCAATGAATGCCCTATTTTAAAACAGTTTTTATATATATATATATATATATATATAGGTCACAGTGCTAGCTTCTGCAGCCGAGGATCAGACCGCCAGGGTCCCCGCCTTTGGCTGCTGCCCAACTCACATTGCACCCGACCCCTTTGGCGCCCCTCCCACGAGTGCATTATAAGGCGCATAGAAGCTACAATAGTGGCTGCAGTTGCGTTGTGCATCCACTAGATGCTAAAGGGAATACAACACCCAATATCTTCTTCTTATATATATATATATATATATATAGCACTTTCACAACTGCTGCAGCTTTTTTTGTCCAAGAAATCAGAATATTGATCCATATATAAGGTGCATCGGATTATAAGGCGCACCTGTTGACTTTTGAGAAAATCGAATGCTTTTTGATGCCCCTTATAGTACGGAAAATATGGTACTTTTGGATAAAATTTCACATGGAGTCGCTGAATGTTCAAAATAAATAAAACAACAAATGTAATCTCTTGAGCAAATTCGAATTCATCCCAGGACGAAAGTAGTCACTGTTACAAGGACAAAGCCATTGTTTGTCAAGATAAAAAGGAATGTGAAGATATATTTGGCAAGGCTAAAAAATGTTTAAAAAAAAGAAGGAATCTGTATTTTGTCAGGATGACAACAAGAAACAATTATGAGAATTTTTTTTCCAGGAAAAAAAGTGGTCATTTTTCCAAGAACGAGGACGCACTATATTCTGTCTGGCATAGCTAGATCAAGTCATAATATTTACAATCATTTTTTTTCAACAATAAAGTCATAATGATCACATGGACAAGGATGAATGGATAAAATGTCATAATTTTACTAGATTAAAGTGTGTAGTAAAAAGTATTTTTTTTTAAACAAGGGAATTCTATACATATTTTTGTTGAAACAAAAAAAACTATTCGCAACATAATATAACATAATTTATTACAAATAATTTTGAGTGACACCCGTGGAGAACCACTGAAGTAAATAAAGAAAAAAACTGTGTATCTGACGTCAGTGCACTCTGTTGACCCCTTCCTGCAGGCAATAGGTGACTGAGATGGGCGTTCGTTTGAGCGCCTCCTTGTGGTGGCCGCCGCTGTTGCTGCTACTGCTCTATAGCGCCACCCTCCGCTGCTCAGCCCGGCCCTTCGGGATCCCGGCGCCCGCCGTGAACGTGGCGGTGGTTTTCAGCGGCTCGGCCTACCAGTCGGAGATCAAGGGGCGGCTGAGTCGTGAAAACTTCATGGACCTGCCCCTGGAGGTGAACCCCATCACTGTGCTGGTGAACAACACCAACCCCAGAGCGCTGCTCACCCGCATCTGCGACACGCTGTCTACCAACCGCGTCCATGGCGTGGTCTTCGAGGACAACGTGGGTTCCGAAGCCGTGGCCCAGATCCTGGACTTCATTTCCACTCAGACCGGCGTGCCCATCGTGGGGATCAGCGGAGGCTCTGCCGTCGTCCTGCCTTACAAGGTCAGAACCAAGCTACGAGACACGCGGTTTCCTGTTGTGCCCAGGTCAAAACCCAACTCCAGCGTCAAAAACCACTCAATGGTTGCAAATAAGCTAGCATGAAAGTAGAAAGGCTAACACAGGTGACTCAAATTAACAGGAGGAAGTTGCCCGATTGTGTCCTGTCGGTTCAAGGTTTTCATCCATCCATCCATCCATCCATCCATCCATCCATTTTCTGATCCGCTTTATCCTCGCAAGGGTCGCGGGGCGTGCTGGAACCTATCCCAGCTGTCTTCGGGCAGTAGGCGGGGGACATCCTGAACCGGTTGCCAGCCAATTGCAGGGCACAGAGAGACGCTCACACTCACACCCAGGCACAGTTTTGAGTGTTCAATCAGCCTGCCATGTATGTTTTTGGAATGTGGGAGGAAACCGGAGTACCCGGAGAAAACCCACACCGGCATGGGGAGAACATGCAAACTCCACACAGAAAGGCCGGAGCGCACTGTGAGGTCGATGCACTAACCACTCGACCGCCGGGCCGCTTCAAGGTTTTCATTTGAACCCAAATCCCAATGCTTTGCTTTGAATGCTATGAGTAGAAGTGCAGGCGAAACTAGCACCAGGGAGACGACAGCTCCGTTTTGGTCCATACCTCAAGTTGAACGTAAATCTTGATGTTTTCCTTTGAGAACCTGAACGAAAAATGCCAACAGTAAGTTGAAAGTCCACCACTCGTCCTAGTGAAAGTCACCCGATGGCACGAGGTCGGGTCCGGAGCTCAATATGAACCCAAATCCCTGTGCGGTTCTTTAATCACCCTAACCAACGACCTTTTTGAAAGCCAAGCAGACCTCACCTTCATTGACCCAGCATGACACGCATGGGTGGATTGGAGATCTGTTTATTTGGTCTGAACAAGCTTGCTGACCTTTGTTTTGTCAGGAGAGACTTGACTCCTATTAATCTTGCTGTCAACGGCATTGACTGCGGCACGGTCCAAATCGCAAACGCCCGTTTGCATGACATCAGCGATTTGGCGAGCAAACCATTTCAAACGGCCATCGAGTCGTCATTCTTATCGCAAAGAACCCCAAATTCATATTCTCTTGATGTCAACCCACCCAAAGACTCGGTCAAGGATAATTACAGCGCTTAACACAGGATGAAATAACAGCTAATTATCTCACGTCCGGTCCTCTGAGTGCTAATTAGCTCAACCAAAATGGACATTAGTCATCTTTACATGACTTTGCGTGCCACCAGACAACTTTTGCAGGCTGTCATTTACTTTGATTAACTTGTGCTGATGACAGTAGTTCTCAAACTAGGTCAAAGCGGACCAGCGTTGTGCGAGCTGTAACTTTCCAACGATTGCGAGTGTTTTCAAAGGTAGCGAATGTTGCCGTTCGCCCGTACTTTTCTGCCGCAAGGGAATTTTAAACATGTTGAAAATGTCCCCCGCGACAAGTAAAAACCACGAAAACTGTTGGCGAATGTCCGGCGACCCAGAACGAACCCCTGACGAAAACGCAACACTCACTAGCCTTGAAAACACTCGCAAGTGTTCGCAGCTCAGTGGCATAGCCATCGCTTGGGCGATTTTTTTTTTTTATTTTGCGTGAGTCAAAATACCCTTCGGTGTGGGCAAGGAGAGCCACAGTCGCTGAGGCAATTGTCACCATTTATGAAACGGCACAGACAGTCAATCGTACAGTACCGATCGGTGATACGAAACACTTGCAAGGAGCGACTACAAGCCACAACTCGAGTTAGCGGAGTTACAGTTCCTTCGATCCATGAACAAGATCGTATCTGCTTTAAAAACCAATATTTGTACGTGCAGTTTCTCCGTGTTTGCAGAGTTTAGCAACCAAGCCCTGATGCAAACAGCAAAAATCTTATGAAAGTGTGCAAACCCTTAATTAACTCTTCAATTCCACAAGACGTACTTGTACGTCTTTTTAAAATTAGGCCCCGCCTACCAAGGACGTACTTGTTCGTCTAAGTCTTTTTTTTTTGCGTCGTAGACAGGAGGAGGGTCTGATGCAATCTGTGAATGAGAATAAGCCGTTTGCATTGTAAATCATGTAAAAAAAAAGCGACCAGTAGGTGGCAGTGGTGCCTCACGTGCTTGAAATGCATGATTTTACAGAAAGCTCTTTTTCTCCATTTTTTGCCCAGGAATCGCCATTTTCATGAAATTTCCCCATTTTGTACTGCCGATTGCTGAAGAATGGAAAAAGATAAACATTTTTTTTTCTGCTGAAAGAGAGTTCAAACTTTATTTTGTTAGGCTCCATGTTTATAGAGCATTAGAACCAAATATTCTGTGGGCCTTGCAAGATCAGTCAAAATCCAGTAAAACGCTGGGAGTGAGGGGGTTGCTCCAGTGAAAATGGCTGGCATTGAAGGAGTTAAGTGTCTTGATTTCTGAATTTAATTCATTCCGTGAACAAGCTCATAACTTCATTTGCTTGTACATTAAAATCATGTTTTCCCCCCACTAAAATAAGCTGCCCTCGGCTCCGCGCTCGTGATTTGTCATGTTGTTGCGGCTTGTCATATTTACGATTCTAGCAGCAAATGATCTAGTGAATAATTAAGCGCAAAACATGACTGTAGACTTTGGCGTCTGCTCCTTTCGCTTGAATCAAATTGCCCTGATTGGATTTGCTCACATTTGCTTCACCCCAGCAGGACCCCCGATATGCACATTTGCACGCTTGCGTCCGACAAGAATACCTAATTATCACGGCGTGAACAGTGCGAAACACGGCCTGAAAAAAAAATGACGATTACCGCACGGCCGCTCTGTTTTGCGCCGAATGGAACGGTGGATGCGTTTGACATTGGGTTGACCTTGTCCTCGCGCTGGCCTCTTGGGTGTGATAGCTCTCAGCCGCTAATGCCTCCCATTTCTCACCTCGGTTCTTAACGCCTCTCTTCCAGGTGTGACCCGGTCGGAATATATTAGCGTGCAAACAGGCGTATTACGAAATGGGCGCGCTGCGACAAAGGCGGCCGTTGAGATGAAATAGGACCGCTCGCCAGTAATTAGCGAGAGAGGAACGCTAATTGCCGGCAGATACATCATGTGGTGATATGCCAGAAGGTCCTCACAAAGTCTAATTGCCAGTGTCATCTTTTGTCTTGGGTAATCACGTACCAGGTGTGACAAGAGAGAAACGAGACCGCTATTACATCTCGATACATGCAAATATGATGGAAAAGTTCCTTGTATCGTTGAGACACATGTAAATGCCCGAATCCATTCCAAGTCCCGCCCCCAAAATTCAGACATAAATAGTTTCCAAAGCATAAAAATGCATCCAAGTATGTAACAAATACAAGTTCCAATTAGATTATTGACCAATAAATTAGAGTTGTGCATAATGTTGAAAACAAAGAATGGTGTAAAGACTAAAAATGATGGTCATTTAAATTTTAACCGCATCCTTGTGGTTTTTTGCGTCTCTTTAGTTTGTCTCTCAAAAGTGTTTTTTGCCTGGCGTTTTGTAAAGAACGGATCCAAGGACATTTGCTTTTGTCGGATTTTAACAATCCCTCGAAAACGTCCAAGGCAAACATCAGAACACTTTTTCTGGGTGATTCACATTTCCGTAAAATTATCGGAACGCCTCATGGCCCGAGGGGCGAATGACGAGGAAGCTGCAAAGAAACATATCTATCTATTTATCTATCTACACACAAAGACACGTATGGTCGAGGTCCCTCTCAGCCAATGGGATGCCAGGATGACGCTAGGTAATAGCCAATGGCAGAGCAGCTATAATTTATGTTGCGTTCAGGAAACTCGGAGCTGCGAGGAGCAGCCCACACAGTATTTTTACCTTTCCTATCTCGAAATTTATTTCGTAACAAGAGGCAATATTTTCCTGTTGAGGCCTTTCGTAACTTGAACATTTCGTATGAAGAGACGTTCAGAAGTAGAGGTACGACTGTATTGACGTTTCCTCTCATTTTCATTGCATTCACGGCCATGTTTTCATTCATTTTTAATTCCCAAAGAAGTTTTAACACGGGACGTGTTTATGTCCACGAAAAGTGCCCACTCTTGGGTTGAATTGAATACATTCCGAAATCCATGTTACTATGTTTATTCCGGTCACAGAGACTCTTTGTGGTCCAATTCGGAGCGCGTCTGCAATTTGCTAATCTGGTTTGGCTCCAACCATGGCAAGCGATCAGGGATTCGTGTGTCTGCTTCGGGTTGCCGGGCGGGATCTAGCTGACGTGGGGCCAGGCAGGATGCCGCAGTCGGCCCATATGTCGCGACCAAAGAGCGGCAGCCGGAAGTCACTCTTCGCAGAAAACCAAGCGGAGATGGCAGCACTTCACTCGTGTCGCCATACCCCCTTTTATTCATCGCTCTGTTCCGTTTTTTTTTTTCTTTTTTTCATTGTGCTTGTAAGCCTCTTCCAGCCAACTGATATCAATCTCTGCCTTCCTTTAGCTTTTTTGGACGCAATCCCGAGTCTATTAATAGAGCAACCTGAGTCATTTCAGTCACCTTCAGCCAAATGAAAGTGTTTCAGTGCAGGTAGGGACTCCATATGGTCCCTGTTAAGATTTATAAAAGTGCCGTTTCGCCCTATTGCAAACAGCTGTTTGCAGATAATCGCCGCTTTGCCGCTCTTGTCTAACCCTCATCGGGTCCGACAGCCGCTCATCTTGCGGCCGGCCGGGGCTTTTTCCCATGCGAGCGGAGACCTTTCCAAAAGGTGTCTTCACGCCAATTGTCGTGAGGTGGGCACTGAAGGAGTCTCCTGTGGGGCACGAGCCGAGTTTGTCCATGGGATGAAGCGTTCTCGTGAACATATTTACCACTGTAAATGTAATCTGAGCGCGGAAAATGCTAAGCTTTCCACTCAGTGACTTTAATCTTCTTTAGGACTACGGAATGCTACTACGAGCTTGTGTGGAAGTGCGTCTCTCCGTTGCGGACTATGGAATTGTTCTCAGAATCCAGCACATTCTATGTATTTAACGAGGAGATTCCTGGAAGGTTTGATTACAATCGAACAGTCTCGCAGAAATGGATATGGCCAACGCTTGAATTCAACTGTGAGACCAGCCGTCCTCAACCTTTTTTCCCCACGGACCGGTTTCATGTCAGACAATATTTTCAGGGACCGCCCATTGAGGTGTGATGGATAAATACAACAAAATAATATTATATGACCTGCATGTATTTTCGAAACATAATGATAAACACGAATCATGACACGAGGAACGTCCTATCTGGCCGCAACAATTTTAAACGTTCCTTCAAAATAAGATACACCGCAAATACAAAGTGCATGAAAAATGCGACTCAACTCTCACTGTTATGCAGAGTGTTGCGCGGGAATTTCCCGTTGAGATAAATCCGTATTTTAAGTAGGAAATCCTGATACTATTAAATGTAGCCTTCTTTTTCTTGAAAGTCATCGGCTCCTCTTCTGTCTCCTGGCTGGGCCTTTTCTCCTTCCCAAAGAAACTTTCCAAAGACGTTTGTTTTTTTACTCATTTTGCTCGCTCCTGGCTTTCATTTTAGCGGTAACCTATCACGTGATGGAGAAGTGCATCAAGAATTACGTACTTTAGGCGGATTTAACAGAGAATCCGGTCATTTTTTCAAAATAAAATATCTATCAGATTCCAAAATAAATAAAAATGCAGTAATGTAAGTTCTTTATTCTTTCTGTGCGGCCTGGTACCAAATGACCCACGGACCGGTAACAGTCCACGGACCGGGGGTTGGGGACCACCGTGTTGGACGACATTTATGAAAGTCAATAACAGAACTGGTGTCCACAGTGCGTGTTCTTGCAGCTGTTGCAGCTTCACGCATTTCTACAGTTGATGCATCTCTTGTTAGAGGCAATCTACGTTTTGTTGACAAAACTGAATCTGATCCAAACTAATTGAAAAGAGCAGCAGAAAAAAAGGGACTAGTGAGGGATCCCTGCTACAATTCAGAGCACATTGGGGCGGCCAGCGGCAGTGCCCCGGGCCTGTCGTGTAGCAGGCCATCAGTCAACTCGGTGTTAACGGAGTCTGATTGACTGTGTGAGAAGCTTGGCTCCGGCAAAGAGTCACGTTCTGACCCGGAAGGGCAATAAAGTGAATTGTGCTCTGCCGCAGCTACGCACCGACGTACAGCAATCAGCCTCTGGTGGCACCTCCCTTACGCTCAACCATTTCACTGATAACTGAAATTAATTTACTGTACTGGCACGCTTGGAAGATATAAATACGGTGGTTTTAATTAAGCAAAGATGAAATGAAAAGGAAAGATAATGTTCCTATTTTCCAGTTTGCTGTAACTTTTAGGACGTAATGGAGCAGTCTAATACAGCGGTACATTGACTTTTGGAAAATGTCCCCATACGCTCTTGTTGGTCTTGAGAAAATGAAATACTTGGGGGTTTTGGCATAACAACTTTACGCACTCAGACTGAGAGAGAACAGTCAAAGTAGCGCTTCTAACCTTCATCATTCCTGCCATGATATCGACTCTTGTTTCATACACCAAGTATACTTTTTTTTTTTTTTTTTATTAATTTCCCAAAATATGAGACTTTGGATACTAATGTAGGAGACTGAACCGGTTCAGAATTGTTTATGTTAATGTTAAAAGAAAATATCCTTTGTTGTGTGTTCACAAACACCCCCATAGAATTTATTTTGTCATTTCCTTGCTAGGTTTTCTGTTTCGGTTGACTGTTTTCAATTTTCTTAATGCCATTGAAGGTAACATTAATTTATGTTTTTGGAGGCGGTCTTTGAACGCCTCTCGAGCCGAACGAAGAAGAGAAGGCAGGAAGTGTCTGTGTTCGTCTGACAGTTTTAAAGCATTAATAAAGTGTACGTTAAAAAAAAATACAACATTGCAGCTGTTTTTGTCGCGGAGCTGCAACACTAACATTAGAAAATAGTTACAGTGCTACTTCAGCTTTCACCTTGATTCAAAAATAATTCAGTCTTAAAACAAATGCCTGTTTTGTCAAATAGAACATTTGACCTGGTTTTGTAAATGCCACTTTTTTTAGCAGCTGTGACCTCCCGAGTCCCGATGCATCCCCCTGAAAGACTCCTGAGAAAGAGACAGAAGCGTCAGAAGCAGCAGGTTCTTCACACTTGGAATTAATTTTTTTTCATATCTCCGACTTGATCTTCCATCATTCCTGCCGCGATGTGGAACCAATGGCAGCCAAGAACAAGAAGCTTTAAACAGCCTCATCAGCAGAAGATGTTTTGTTTCCAAAGCAAAATTGTAAAAAGGCCTTCGTTACAACAAATCATGGGATGCTAAATGCTGCCGCGACCTTGCTTATAAACAAAATGGACAGAGCGAGATTCCTCTTGGTTGCTCCGCAACACTACTGATCGATTTGATACATTGTTATACTTCCTGCCGTAACTTGCGAAGCCCCGGCGCAGTCCCTGAGCATGTAGTCTGAAAACATGTCTGGTAAACGGAAGCAAATTTCGCTATCTGTGAAGGCTGAAATTGTCTCTCATTGTCAAAAGTGAGGTCTCCCAGACGAAGCTCAGCCGAGACTTCGTAAAATGGTGACACTTGGCCTTGTCGGCGGTACTGGCAGTTGCCTATGGCGGGTGACATTTGCTGACTGAATGTTTTCAGGGATGAAGTAGGAACACCGATCAATGTTCATACTCTATTATACATCATAGTTGGCGGCCATTTTGTTGGAAATGGTTACAACGAACTACCGTTATAACTTATAGATTCCTATTGCCCTTCGAGGTATGTTGTAACGAACTTCGACTATATTAAAAACAACAAAAATGGGATTTGGAGGATGCTGGAAAGGATTTAATGGCATTTTGATTAGCAAAATTATTTGATATGCGGGTATACAGAGTAACAAGCTTGGTCACGGTTCGAATCAAACTTGTAAGTCAAGGTAGCACTGTATATGCTTGGAATGGCATTGATCTTTGTACTTCTCTCCGGTGGTGGTTGAAAAGGAGCGAGAGAAAACTAAGAGGGTTTTTTTTTTTTCCCCACCACCCAGCAGCGTGGCGAAAGTGGGTGGATTTAGCGGTGACGTCGGGACTCATAAGATGCTCATACATCACCGGGCGGTCTCTCAAGGACACCGAGGAGCCAGGCGGAACAAGATCACAGACCCTCACGCAGTCTCGGGGTACTTGACCCCACTCTCGCCTCAGTTGTGAGGACCCCGCCCCCACCCTCACCCTGCTCACTAGAGCGCTTCTATTCCCCCAGGGAGGAGAAGGTCAAGATCATCCGGCAGTTTTTAAAACACGACGGTTCAAGAGATGCTCCGAAAAGTCCAAACACCGAAGACACAGAATTGTGCTTGGAATCGACCCATAATTCATCATAAAATAGCATCATTCCACCAGCACCGCTATTCCGAAGCAACCACGCTGATCTCTGCCTTTTGACAAAGGACCTGTTTAGACCATATGTACGTGCGTATCTTCAAGAAGCCAGATTTTCACTGCTCAGAGATTTTTTTTCAAAATAGATTTGTCTATTAACAAGTGATTTAATCGTGATAGGTTGTCGGAAGAGCAAACGGCACGAGTCTAGGGGTTTTGAAAGGGTACATTGCTCTCAGGATGGCCGTACGGAAGATCAGGGTCAAGGCCCAGCAGTGCTTTTTTTGGACATTTTTGTGTTCAGCATTGTATTAAAACCAGATGATTGGCTAATACTTCAGAAAATAAAGCTCCGTGCTATAATGCGAACTTACCGTGACGACGAAGTTCTTCAAGGGCCGATACCGCCATCAACTCAGGTGCATTCGTCGTATGATCGCATGCACCAGACCGTGACGCCCAGATCGTGGCGTATCTGACTTCGTCCCATCTTTGATCGTGACAATGAACTGATTCCACCAGAAATACCGTCTTCCGTATCGGACCTGAAGTTCAGTAAAAGACCACTCAAAGTTTTTGCTTCGGTCTGAATATTTTTGGTCATATTAATTTTCAATGAATCCTCCGCCAAGGTCACCGATGACAAAAGGGAGACCCGCCACACGGATGGTAGCATTCCTTCTGTATTTGCAAATAGGTGAACCTTGCCTTGGCAAAAAATGAGACACGTGCTTTTAGGTGATGAATGAGTCTGGAGCTCCGGGAGCACTTAGGCACGTCTGAATGGCCAAGAGTCACTTACGAGATGACGGAGAGGTTCTCACTGAACATTACAGAACAGAAATTGAGTGTTTATTTGGCTTGTTGATGAACAGCAACTGCATTAACTCCTGAGTGAATATATCATCTGGACCGGTGGTGCGACGTAACAAAACACAAATACTTTCTTCCCGTCCTGAAGCGGATGCCGCACCTGCGGCTACTTTTAATTGAGTGTTTATCGATCTTAGGTCACCCACACCTGCCCGGTGACTGTGAGTACTTCTGTCACTTCTCATCCAGACGTGATTTTTCTTCCTCTAGGGCGAGGGCTCCAACTTCCTGCAGTTGGGCTCGTCCATCGAGCAGCAGATCAACGGCATGTTCAAGGTAATGGAGGAGTACAACTGGGACAGCTTTGTGGTCGTCACCAGCCTGTACCCGGGCTATGAGGCCTACGTGGATTACGTCAAGGCCTACATTGACACCAGCTACTTCATGTGGGAGCTCCAGGACGTGCTGACGTTCGACATGTCCGCCGACACCACCAACGACATCCGGGCGCGACGGCTGTTGCAGCAGATTGACGCCCAGGTGCTCCTGGTTTACTGCTCCCACGAGGAGGCCCAGTACCTCTTCACCATGGCCGCCGAGGCCGGACTGGTCGGGCCGGGCTACATCTGGATCATCCCCAGCCTGGCGGTGGGCAACCCTGACATGTCACCACCCGACAGCTTCCCAGTGGGACTCATCAGCATCATCACCGACCGCTGGAGGATGAGCCTGAGGAAGAGGGTGCGGGACGGCGTGGCCATCGTGGTGAAGGGCGTGCAGAGCTACCGCAAGCAGAGGGGCTTCTTGCCGGAGGGTCACAACGACTGCCACAATCCCGTCAAGACCGTGGCGACAAACGACACGCTTTTCAGGTAACCGTGAGACTTTTTATACCTCGAAGGCTGGCGTGGAATTGACGGCCACGTGACGATGGCATGCTCAGATAGCGAAGTTAGCGCAAAAACCTTCAGCTTCAGATTCTTGAAACTGTTCCAGAATTCCTTCCAACTTGTCCACAGTTCCAGTTGACGTAAAACCGCCTAAAAGCATCATACTGCCACCACAAAAAATGTCAGGAAAAGCCGACGACAGCATGTTCTGATGATTCCAAAAGGAGACTTCAGGGGAGTAGCGGGAATAACGACTTGACAATCCAAGCAATTTTTCATATGGACTGGCGCCATGTTGCCCTCGGTCTTCTCCTGACGGTTTGTTGTAAAGACATTTCCTTGGCCTGAAATCGGCAACAATTGCTTTTATAAAGTATTGCACGTTCAGGTCCCCCCCCCCCTCGAAGACATCTGTTCCCCGCAGGCTGCGCAGCTTCGTCTTTCCCAACTGCTTGACACCGTAATTCAAATTCCACTATTGCACTTAACTCGCCGACAAAGGCCTTGATAAAGTCAACAGCAACGGCGATGAAGATCCCTTTAGGGCACAGGTGTCAAACTCAAGGCCCGGGGCCCAGATCTGGCCCGCCACATCATTTTATGTGGCCCGCGAAAGCAAATCAAAGATGACAACTTCCATGATGTTTGCTAAAATGTGTTCCAAAATTTCAAATGCTCACATGTAATAAAAAAGAGAGATATTGTAAGCATTTTTTTGCTAGCAAACCCCTCATTGGAGTTACTTAAACAATAGTTGAATAAACCATTATTCTTGACTTCTTCGTAGGGTTTCACAGTCAAAACGGCCCTCCAAGGGAAACGGTAACTACAATGTGGTCCGCGACAAAATTGAGTTTGACACCCCTGCTTTAGGGAAACAATCGGGGACACTCGAGTCTGTTTTTTTTTTTTTTTTTTTGCCGTCAGTGTGCAGCTGCATCCAAACTGTTCGATTGCGGTAAAAGCCAGGGACTATTTATGAATGGGCGCAAATGCCAAATCATAAATTTGCAATGAAATAGTGACTGGATGTTTATTTATGTGGCAAGTCATTCATGAGTTGGAGAGGGAAGCCCTGTTGCGGAAAGCTCTCGGGGAAGGACTCATTCAAATGCATGTTTGGATTGAGTCGGGCTGCACGGAGAGTGCGAGAGAGAGTGATATCCAATTGGTTTATCCGATTCCGAGCGGCGCCGGGAAGGGGTCAATGCGGGACTGAGTGAATTGATTGAGTCCACCAGGGAAACATTGATATTCTCCACCGGAATATTTGCCCAGACATGCTGTTAATATATTTCCAGAGATAAACCTACTCAAGTTATTTTGGGAGGTCGATCATATATTTGCTCAGCAGTTGGGGCACTGGGGAAGACTGAGAGTTGTCGTTCCCCATCTTGCAAATAGTTTTTTTTTTTTTTTTTAAGCAATGAGGAGCAGAATCAGTTTCGCATTGTGGTGGAAGGCAACTTCCATTTCCACGTTGCAAAAAAAGTGTCCGAAACTTTTGACCCGAGGTAAGTGCCCTGCCTTACCAATGCTTCATTAGGCGCTATTTTTTTGTTTACGTTAAAATAAAAAGGCGATTTGAGGGGGGACTTTTGGAGGCATTCGCTTGTGCCTGACATGCTAGCAATGTGGATACATGGGACACTTCCTGAAAAGACCATTTCACATCTCAAGACGTAAAACGTTCATTTATTTATCCAGGACTGTTTGGTGCGATGCTGCAGATTTATGGCCACTGTCAGTCCCCTAAACTGTGTCCTCACCCGCTACCATCTATCTCATCACGCCTTTATACCTCCGGGACGGTCGGGGAATTGAGTGTGGGGGAGTCGCCAGTGACAGGCAGGTGTGGCCTGTCCTTAGAAATCCGAAAGGAAAAAAATAAAATGAAAAGGAGTTTATTAGAACAATACAACTAACCTCACCCTTTGCCATGGAACTTGGAGGAAATAAAACATGAATGAGATATTGCGCTTTCTGTCGAAATTGCATAAGAATGCTGAACTTCCTGAGTGGATAAAAAAATGTAGAATCTGGAAAAAAAAAGATAAACGTTTGGAACACTGAATGCTGGGACATTGGAATTATTTTACTTAGTATAGAACTGCTGAATTTAGGGTGTTTGTCCACCCATCCATTTTCTGATCCGCTTATCCTCACAAGGGCCTTTACCAGCAGTCTTCGGGCACTAGGCAGGGGACACCCTGAACCGGTTGCCAGCCAATCGTAGGGCACACATTGACAAACGATCATTCACATTCACAATCATACCTAGGGACAATTTAGAGTGTTCCAATAACCTGACTAGCATGTTTTGGGAATGTGGGAGGAAACCGGAGTACCCGGAGAAAACCCACGCAGGGACAGGGCGAACATGCAAACTCCACACAGGAAGGCCGCAGCCATAATCGAACTGTGCACCTCCTCAGCAATGTGAGGCGGACGTGCTAACCAGTCGCCCACCGTGCTGCCCAGTTCGAATATTTGAATCTCGATTTGAGGTGAATTTTATAAAAAATATTCTCAATGGTGGAAATAGTTGAAACGTTGTGCAAGTGCTTAGAGATGAGGAATCGTTTTCCAGCAAATCAGTTCAGAAATGTTGATGAATTCTTCTTGAATTATGGGAAAAGCAGTAATTGTGGTGAACGTGAAAAAAAATAAAGGTTAAAGGAGGTAAAGATGAGCATTTTAGTATTGACATCATTGATCAGCGTATGCGGCAGAAAGCATCTTTTGTATTCCAACAAGGTTATTCGGCACACTGACAGCCGTTCCGCTGCTAATGGGACACATCTCTGGTGTCATCACCGTCGGGGAGACAACTTTGCCTTGTGTGAGGCCAAACGTGCCAATGTGGGGGGGAAAAAAAAGGTGGAAATGATGGAACACTATCCCGGGCTTTGATTCTGCACCGATCCCTCTCGAGATAACCCAGCGGGCACGATTTGAGCAGCTACGTATTGAATGTGGAGCATACAAAAGAAAGCTTTTCCAATTTGGTCTTACATTCTTGCATATCAAACATGAACAAGGCCTTACGGTTCTCACTACATTGCTGCCCGGATAATGAAACAGTTAACCTGTCATTTGGATTATCACAGATTACCCGACTGGGGGGGGTTCTTCACTTTGATCGCCTCCGCTGGAGTGATGGCAGAGGTGCGCAAGCGGCACCGCCGTTCTGATCTTACAGCTGCGGAAGTGATGAAAACGAGCAATCAGAGGAGGCGGACGAAACAGAGGGAGAGCGGCTCGCGTTTGAAATTCAACATGGTTTCAGGACGAAGATGGAAAAAGCTCGGACAGCCTTACATTGCAATAGATGATGAGTTATTTCATACCACTTTTTTTTCCCCAGACCGATAACTTTACGACCAGTCACTCTTGAGTAGTCAATGATACTGATACCACTCATACTTTTAATACAGGGTTCGACGTTAACAGCGGCCCGTTGGCCAGTACAAATTTCATGAATCAATACGATGAAATCCACATGCTCCTGTTTTTTTTTAACCCTTTTCAGGGACAGTGGTTACTACAATGGACAGCTTTTTGTGTTATCAGGTTACAGGGTGCATGAAAGGGTTCATATTTAATATTCATATTCATATTTGAATATTTTTCTGTTTAAATTGATCAATCATTACCTTGTGGCTCACAATTTTTTTGTCAGGTTAAATCCTTCCAGGGATGGCGTGAACAAAATATATGAAGTCTGGAAAATGTCAAATGTCAATTAGATCAGGGATGGGAAACACCTATAAAAATGAGAATGTTGGTTTGTTTTTTCTGTTTTTTTACAATCCCTAAAAATTCTTCAGCAAACACTGATAAATATTTAATATGCACTGCAGGAAAATTCATTGGAAAAAAAAAATAGAAAAAAATCCAAAACATGAAAAATTATTGGTGGGGGAATCCGCAACAATGCCATTCTGTGGGTGCCGAACAATGAGTATGAAGGTGTCGACTGTAGATAAAATTTGTATTACCACCACTCACCAGTATATGACAAACATCTCTTCGTTGCACTTACAGTGGGTTTTATTTATTTTTTTTGTGGATTTGGAATGATTTGCAAGATAAACATAGTATAAATATATACAAATTTTGAGTGAGATGATTTTTGTCAACCAACTTGACGTGACGAGCCGATATTCACCCCCTATTCTTTATTTTCAACTCAAAATCTGTGCTGATCCCAAATCGAAAGTGATGCATCCTCTGTCATCCGTTCGTAATCATGACAGCTATGCAGAAGTTTGAATTTCACAGGCGAGCTGGGCGAGACCCTTTTCCACGTCTCCTCATTAAAAAACATACTTGACAAATGTGATACAGTCGACGGGTGGCAGTAAGCGGTTAAATTTCAGTTGATGAATATAAATGTCCATGACAGCGAATGAGATAATGTAACTCGGTGAGCTGGATGAAAGAAGCGATCCGTGCTTTGCGAACGAAACCGACTGCACCTCCTGCAGACTGAACAGGAAGCAACAAACATCACTTCTTTTGTTTTTGGGTCACTGACTTGACCTGGCCTGTGGGTTTTCCTTCTGTCTTTTCATTTCAGGCACATGCTGAACGTAACCTGGGAGCACAACGACTTTTCCTTCAATGCCAACGGCTACCTGGTGAACCCGGCAATGAACATCATCTCGCTGGACCGAGAGAGGCAGTGGGACAAGGTAATGAACGCTCACGGCCGGGGAGTTCAGAACAAGTCGACTTTGAGCCGCGCAGGCAGTGATTTCATCCATCAGCGATCTCGTTATTGAGGCTAGTTAGAGGGCTGCGCTCACACCAGTGAACCACTTAATGAAGGATCGTCTCATGCTTGCCGCCGTCACTGCGGCGCGCGCACTTGAGCTGGCTAATTTGGAGGTGCGGGTAAGTCACACAAGTGCAAGTCATAAGTAGCGCTTCTAGTCTTAAATTTCAAGTCCTTTGTGACCGTGGCAAAAATCACGCAAGTCAAGAAACATTCCCTGCGACATTTCGAATTCAGCCAAGCAAGTCAGAAGTCAAGTCGCACAATCTTGCTTCGTCACAATCAGTGGCCATCGGGAATTTGGGGAAAATATGTTTATTTTCCTGAACGGCCGGTGCATTTCCGTGCTGGTCAAAAGGCATCGCGGTTCCGATTTGTGTTTCAAGTGGGTTAGCATTTCAGATGGAGAAGTATCAAGTCAGATTTTCCGGATTTTCCGATCCGCTTCATCTTCACAAGGGTCGTAGGGCGTGCCGGAGCCTATCCCAGCAGTCTTCGGGCAGTAGGCGGGGGGACGCCCTGAACCGGCTGCCAGCCAATCATAGGGCACTCATTGACAAACGATCATTCACATTCACAATCACACCTCTGGACAATTTTACAGTGTTCATTTGGCCTACCATGCATGTTTTTGGAATGCGGGAGCAAACCGGAGTACCCGGAGAAAACCCACGCAGGCACGGGAAGAACATGCCAAACTCCACACAGGGAGGTCAGAGCTGGAATCGAACCCGGTACCTCAGCACTGCGAGGTCGACACGCTAACCACTCGCCCACCTCTTCAACACCTAAACATTTCATTTCCATCGCACAAAATTTCGTAGATGCTCCTAAAATGAGCTCCCAAAAAGTTTTTGGCAACCTCTGCCTGTACAATAAATAAAAAATCCCATTTTGTGGACGCCATCAGCATTTGTGTGGACGAATGGAGCGTCTTTCTTCTGTGCGCTCTCCGGCCGCTTCTTCTGCTCCTCAACGCTTGAGCAACAGTCAACATTTGCGTGTTAATTTCAGCATTAATGAGCCGGCGTTTTACGAGCAGCTTTTAGCGGCCATTCGATTCACCCTGCTGTCAGCACTTCTGCGTTCAGCAACCTTATGGCAATCCAAGTGGAGGGAAGCTCAAATTTCCACCACACACCCATGAACTTTACGTCAAAAGCCGCACGGCGGCCAAAGATTTCACGCGCATCCTCGACAAAACTTTCACCAAATCTCCACGAGGCTGCGCTTATCCGTCGCACCTGAGGGCGTTCTTTATCCTCAGAGGCTCAACGTCGATTCGGCCTTCTGATTGGCTTTTTCTGAACTTGTTTTAGTTCCTTCTGATCGCCTTCTCTTGACTTCTTTTAGCGCTTTTGTTCTAGAATCTGGTGCTAACACAGTTTCAACCCATCCACCTTCAGTTGGACAGTTCCAGCGTATTTTCATGAACTTTAAATCAGCAGAATGTCCTCGTTATAACGGCCATTGTTCAGCGGGGTGTGTGAAATTAGGTCTGGAAGATGGCACGGGAGAGGATGGGGAAGCCCCGCAGGAGCAAAACAGGGATAAGTTCAATCTTAGTTCTTGCGGTTGATCTGATATCGGGTTCTAAATGATTGCTAAAAAGTTACAAAATGCAGTTTATTTTTCATTTCACACCCGCAAGGTGTCTCAATTTTTACCCCAAGTCAATATTGCATTGCTCGGTTGACGAAAGGACAATCCAAACTTTCAATTAGATTTCTGCAGACCAGAGACCGAAAACCCATCGTCACAAGTCAGGATGGATATCGTGCATCGGGTTTCAAGGCCAAGATTAGGTTCCAATTTGGGTTGCAAGGCACGAGGAGAGTTCAAGTTATTTTTTCGAACCACGGTTACACTTTCAAAGTTGGAATTTAAGACAGGGTTAAGGTTCAAATCTGAGCTTCAAATTAAATTTCTGGTTACAGGACCGGGTTTTCTCTCCTCTCTGAAAAGATACTTGCAAATTTATTAGCAAAAGCCGAAAGAGAAGGGGATGGATGATGGAACCGGATTGTGAAGTAGAACACCGGACGGAGTCGCTACGCATCGAATTCGCAATATGTGCCAATCTGAAATCCAAAGCAAAGGATCTGCATACCTGTCAACTTTTCGGAGCGCCAACCTGTATAAACTACCAAAAAAATCCTTAGAAAGTGCAAAAAATCCTTATAACATACCAAAGCATTTTATATGTCAAAATAACGGCAGAAAAAAACCCACGAAATATGAATGATATATTTGTTTCCTTGTAGAACTTGCTTGGACACTACCGAAGTATGCAATGAATACTCTGCTGTTTTCAACTAGGAACCACGTGATTTACTGGAAAGTTACCGGAAATGAAAGCATTCGAGTAGACTAGCACCATTCTGGGCAAAAGCAAACGGAACTACCTGTTAGGGCGAAAAAAAAACAAAACGGAAATTTTCAGAATCCATATGATTTGTGCGATATGGCCATATACGTAAGATTCACCACAGAATCCGTATGAACTATGGCTAAACCGTATGAGTTGACAGGTATGGATCTGCAAGGCGCAGACCGGCAAAAACTAAAAACCCCCCAAAAAAGGATTCGGTATCATTTCGACATTATCAGCGTTTCAATGAGCGCTCAAGACTTTCTGTTCTTGCTGTCACTCCATCTTATCACGCGGGTTTCTCCTTTCAAGGATGCGTCGACGATTGAGATGCGTGTCTGAGGAAAAAAAACAACAAAAAAAACACCGGGACGCCTCGCTTCTCATTTCTGTGTGTTTCTTCACCGCCGACTCGATTGAAGGCCGCAAAGGTAAACAGCGGCAGCCGATCGGCGTGATAGGCGGCAAACATCCGGGGAGAACTGCGTGTTTGCCCGCCCTTTTCCCGCCGCTGCCTTGTGTGATTTCTTTTCATTGAGCTTGTCGAGAGTTGCCAGCCCGGTACATGTTCTGTTCTTATGAAGTGTTGGAGTCATTGTTTTCAGATTAGTTTTTTTATTTTGACAAAACGCATCTTTATTCTTGTCAAGATCATGAAAGTGTTTTTGAAAAATTATCATAACATTACAATTGTCCTTGCTAAGAAATTATGAATTTATCATGATAATTCGTTTTTTTGTTTTTCCTTCAAAATGGGCCACTTTTTCATTCCTGTGGCATTTCGACAAGTGCTAGTGATTGTTGACCGGCGTTAGAATCATGAAGGGGCCCTCGAAAATTGTTTTGCACCGCTCGAGTGGCGCCCGAGGATTCAATTCTGCACCTCATTTACGTAGTGAGCCCAATTCCCCCACCGCCGGTAATTAGAATTAGCGAACTGGTTGTTGCGCGGCGCATAAAATTGGAGCGTCTCCGTCGGGCCTGACCCAAAAATCAATTTCCTCTCAAGTGTCCACAATCGGCGGCCAGGTCCTGACGCACAAAACCTAGCAAAGGATGAGCGATAACGGCGGGGGCCAGAGAGAGGGGGGGTGGGGGGGGGGTAATTGGGGATGGCTGCATTAAGATGGGAGATTGTGATAAAAGAGTGTTATGTGGGCGCATCCTCAGCACTTTCATCTCACGCGCTGCGGGCGAAAAGGCCTCATTGCTCACATGTGCCGCCACTTTATTTGTGCTTTAAAAGGCAGCGTAAAACTGATTTATTACATCTTTAACTGTTTGGATGTGGCCTCCTCTAAAGAGACATTACTTTTACGCCGCACCGGTGTTTAAACCCGCCGTTGGAGTTTCAAAGTAGGGTCGATAGCCAGGTTTAGGGTTTCAAGACAGTGAAGTTTTTGGATTAGAATTACAAAACCGGGTGAGGATTTCAAATTAGGGTCTGGTTAGTTGAAGTTAGAATAACTTTTCAACTCCAAAGTAAGGGTTCCACACTCGGGTTATTGAAAATACATAACGTTAGTATTTTAATTTAGGATTAGGGTTTCACATTTGAATTTAAGGTTTCAAATTGGGGTTTTCAGATCGCGCTAGTGTTCCAAAATATGGTTTGAAAAGAGGGTTTCAAACCCGGATGTTTCTGTTTCAGGTGGGAACTTACGAGATGAGCATCCTCCAGATGAGGTACCCGGTATGGCCCCGCTACGGTTCCTACCTGGAGCCCGTGTCGGACTACAGGCACCTGACGGTGGCCACGCTGGAGGAGCGTCCTTTTGTTATCGTGGAGGCCGTGGACCCCGTGACCGGAACCTGCGTCAGCAACACGGTGCCGTGCAGACGACAGTCCAACAAGACGGAGGCGTAAGTGAACTAGCGCGTCAAAACAAACACCCAAACAACAATTTGTGTCTGAGTCGCGCAATAGCTTTCATTTGGTGGACTATAGTGAGTCCCCACTTTTCATGAATGGTGGGGACTGAACCTTACAGTGAATAGCACAAATCTGTGAATAATTCTGACCCCAACTCCCCCCCCAAAAAAAGGACTTCAAACTGAATCCTTAAAACCACTTCAAACTGAGAGGATCATAAAGCATCAACACCAACCATTGAGAATGCACACAATCGTGAACTCTTGATACATAGACAACCGTGTTCAAATATTTTTCACCACCAACGAACCAACTTCACATGAGTCTCATCAACAGCGAACAAAATAGCCGAAATAACATGCTAGCATAAACTGATGTGACATCACACATGGGCAAACAAATCTTCGCACACAAACCGTATCTCAACAAAAAACACAGCCGTATCTCAACCAAAGGCATCACCAATCAATCTCTCCGCCCTAACCGACTGCCTCACTGACATAAATCTTTGGATGAACGAAAACCTGGAAGAGTCACAAATCAAAACACGTTACCAAATCATCTTTCCTTCACTTCCGGAAACCTAACACGCATCCGCTCTGACTAGTGCAACGACATTCTGCACGGTCTCCCTTCCATTGTCTTCTAAAAATGTCAATGTTCACGTCTCAACTGTCCAGTTGCTCACCCACTCAACTCGCTTTCATTTCAACACACATGAACCACCGGATTTGGTACCTCCCCGTTCCCGTCGTCAATGATGAATGTTTGCCTGTTCACCAAAAAAAAAATCTCTACTACCATGAGCCAGTACTTGGCAGAAAAAAAAAACTGATTTACAAGATCCCCCTCTTAACCTACAAAGCTCTGAATGACCCGACACCCCGGACTGATCTCCTCCGTCGCCACACCTCCACTCGCCGCCTCCGTTCTGCTGATGCCAAGTTTCTCACCCCTCAATTACCAAGTATCACAGCGCGGGTTACAGAACCTTTACCGCTGTCGCCCCAGTCCTCTGTAACCTACCTGCCCCTTGACATCCGCTACTCTGACAGCCTCATCTCATTGAAAAGTCAAGTCAAAGGCCATCTGTTCAAGATGGCCGACAGCATCTGACCATCCGCCTACATGCCCCCACCTTTCTGTTAGCGCTAACTGTTTGTTTGCATATATGTCAAACATCTTCTTATCATTACAGTCAGTGAATATTTAAAGGAAAAACCCATTAGACCACAAATATAAGGCAATCAAATGGAAAGCTAGCATAAAGGAGCCTCCTTTCGCAGGCCAAACTGCTAATACCCGCCCAGCTCAAGGAAACGGAAACATGAGGAATCCATTTCTGAATGACTGCTGAACAATTTGTGATGTTTGGCTACACGCTGATGAACATCCTCAAACGGATGACAAAATCCCCAGCAGGGAGTCTGATCAACAGCCTTTTCACGGTCAGCTAATTAGCGTCCCAATGAGACCACCGCTTGGAATCACTGCAAGCGTTCCGGTGCGCTAGCATGTCCCGTCTTAATTGATTTCTTATCATACGCCAAGGTGCCATGGTGCGCAAGATGAAGAGCCTCATCCCCTGCCTTTGGCGTCTTATCACTCACGGAGAGGTGCGAGACCCGTCGGCCGGGGAGCGGAGCGTCCCGCGATCGACCCTTCATTAACGTGGGGCTTGTTATCCGTTAATGGGATCGCGTTCCTTGACGGTTACGGAAGGTGCTCCTCCCCTGGTTGAATCCGTCAACATTGTGTCAGACGAGTCGGCGGCGCAGACGAGTCAGTGGAGCGATCTCCATGTGTTGAGTTTGAAAAAGGAGAAAGCCGGAGTGGCGGAGGCTGAAATGGCTTTTCCGGAGGACTGGCGCTAAGCGGGAGGGCGCTTGCAGTTTTTGGGCCGCCGGCCAAAAGCGTCCGTGTTTGTAGAGTCGCTTCCGAGGACGTGGGGCTCATACAAACAAGCGTTTCTTGACTGTTTTTGCCAGTCGACTCATGATAGACGTAGCTATTAAATTTCATGGTGCTAACTATAACTGGCTGTGGGGGTTGTATTAAAAAAAAAAAATGCAGTGTTTCAAGACAGGGTTCGGATTTCAGAGTAACGTTAAAAAGCAGAACCAAGGTGTCAAGTTGGGGTTAGGGTTTTGAGCCAGGGTGAAGCTTTGGAGGAAGGGTTTCAAGACAGAATTAGAGTTTTGAAGTAAGGTTTCTAGTCAGGGTTAGGGCATCAAGTTTAGGGTTCTAAAGTCAGGTTTCAAGATTGAGTCGAGGTTTAAAGACAAGGGTTGGGTTTCAAATTAAAGTTTCAAGTCAGGGTTAGGTTTTGAAAAAGGGGTTTTCAAGACCGTGTTTAAACCAAGGAAAAGTGTCATCGTTCTGTTTGTGGCCAGCAGATGGCACTGTAGTGCTCCGCCTGCAGCTGCACACCTGTTGGTCATTGTGTCATTAGTTTGTTTGTTCAAAAGGACTCCCGGCACGACCACTCAAGTGTCGGGTCATCGTTGCTGTGCGCACGTGTCATGTTTTGTTTTCTGTCTTAGGTTTTTACTACTTTGATTTCTTGTGATTTTGCTGGACTTTATTTGAGTGAGGTTTTGAGTTAGTTTCTCCAGTGTATTCCTGTTTGCATTTTTGTTAAATACATTTTGGTCAGCCACCCTGCTCCTGCCTGCTTTTTGGGGTCCTCCAACTACCACCTCGCAAAACGTGACAGAAAAGTGGTTCACAGGGTTATAAAGAAAGGTTTCAAGACAGAAATAGGGTTTTGAAGCTGGGTTTCACCACAGGGTTAGGGTTTCAAACTGGGATTATCACTTGAAGCCAGAGTTAGGATTTTGGAAGCAGGGGTAGGGTTTTAAACCTAGGTTAGGGTTTGCAACTGTTGAAAGGGTGCGTAGTCAACATGTGTATTTGTCAGCTCATGGCGCTGACTTCGAGGTGATAAAAGACAGATCCAGCAGTAGCAGAGGTCAATACCTCACACGAGTCGCACGTGCCGCAATCAATCGATGGCAAAGTAAAGATTTCCCCACGGTTGGAACGAGCATCGTTCATCACGACTGACTTGCTTTTTTATTTTATTTTTTTTTTTTGCGCCGCAGAATCGTGGGCCACACGGAGCCGTACACCAAGCTGTGCTGCAAGGGATTCTGCATCGACATCCTCAAGAAGCTGTCGCGCAACATCAAGTTCTCCTACGACCTCTACCTCGTCACCAATGGGAAGCACGGCAAGCTGGTGCGTGGCATCTGGAACGGCATGATTGGAGAGGTAACCCGCCGCTACATTTTAGCAATTGTTCAAAATGAAAAATCAAAACGATTAAATGTCAAATTCTGTTCAGTAGGAGAGAACATTCAAAAAAAAAACAACTTTGAATGAAATAAAACTCCTCAATTCATTTCAACATAGTTTCTTGGCACAAACATGACCCTTTGTGGTGGCACAACACTGCTTCGATCTAAATGGAGCTCCTCAATTCACTTCAGCAAAGACCCTTGGCACTAATGTGCAACAAAATGGAACCAAATTTTTATTGCTTTGGCCTGAGCGCAACAAAAGTAAATAGCCACATTTTTAAGTGGATGACTGAAGATAGGTTCCCCCAAAAAAATCCACAGTGAAAAAGTCTACACACCCCGCTTCAAATGTCAGGTTTTTATGGAATAAAAACAGATGACCAAGATAACTGTTTACTTTATTCTGTAACCTGTGCAACCCAGGACAACAAAAAAATAAATAACAGCTTTTTGAGTGGGCAAGTAAAAATAATCAGTGGCGATAATGTGGTTGCACAAGTGTGCCCACCCTCTTCACTGGGATGTGGTTGTGTTCAGACTTACCCAATCGCATCCAAATTCAGGCAAATGCAGGTTAGCACACCTGTGCCACCAGTTCAAGGTCCTCTGATTAACCTCAAATCTATTTTGGACCAGCCACAGTTTCATGGCTCATTTTATAATGTTCTGTTGTTGAACGTTGAAAATATTAATTAGGACCAGGTTCACATGCACGCTTTGGTAAAGGGGATTTCTCTCTCAAGAGGAACTACTTAGTGTATTTGCACATTATCTCCACTGTAGCGCATGATCAGCGATTACTTTCTACTTCCCGTGTGTAACATTTGCCTGGCAGACACTTTATGTAACTGAGACGAAGGGACCTTATGCTCTATGCTGGAGATATAATCTTGTCTTTTGGATGGATCAAACTTAAAAGGAACAAATGAAAATCTCTCAACAACCTGATGTTCTAGTAAAAAAGTAGCCGTTTTTGAAAACAGCACCAAAAACACATTTTAGGGATGCAGAAAGCCATCTCGGCTTCAAATTACCGTATTTTCCGCACTATGAGGCATGAGACCTTCAATGAATGGCCTATTTTAAAACTGTTTTCATATGATTGGGGGACCACATTATAAGGCGCATTGAAATAAAACTCCTCAATTCATTTCAACATAGTTTCTTGGCACAAACATGACACTTTGTGGTGGCACAACACTGCTTCGATCTAAATGGAGCTCCTCAATTCACTTCAGCAAAGACCCTTGGCACTAATGTGCAACAAAATGGAACCAAATTTTTATTGCTTTGGCCTGAGCGCAACAAAAGTAAATAGCCACATTTTTAAGTGGATGACTGAAGATAGGTTCCCCCAAAAAAATCCACAGTGAAAAAGTCTACACACCCCGCTTCAAATGTCAGGTTTTTATGGAATAAAAACAGATGACCAAGATAACTGTTTACTTTATTCTGTAACCTGTGCAACCCAGGACAACAAAAAAATAAATAACAGCTTTTTGAGTGGGCAAGTAAAAATAATCAGTGGCGATAATGTGGTTGCACAAGTGTGCCCACCCTCTTCACTGGGATGTGGTTGTGTTCAGACTTACCCAATCGCATCCAAATTCAGGCAAATGCAGGTTAGCACACCTGTGCCACCAGTTCAAGGTCCTCTGATTAACCTCAAATCTATTTTGGACCAGCCACAGTTTCATGGCTCATTTTATAATGTTCTGTTGTTGAACGTTGAAAATATTAATTAGGACCAGGTTCACATGCACGCTTTGGTAAAGGGGATTTCTCTCTCAAGAGGAACTACTTAGTGTATTTGCACATTATCTCCACTGTAGCGCATGATCAGCGATTACTTTCTACTTCCCGTGTGTAACATTTGCCTGGCAGACACTTTATGTAACTGAGACGAAGGGACCTTATGCTCTAGGCTGGAGATATAATCTTGTCTTTTAGATGGATCAAACTTAAAAGGAACAAATGAAAATCTCTCAACAACCTGATGTTCGAGTAAAACAGTAGACATTTTTGAAAACAGCACCAAAAACACATTTTATGGACGCATAAAGCCATCTCGGCTTCAAATTACCGTATTTTCCGCACTATGAGGCGCTTCGGAGTATAAGGCGCACCTTCAATGAATGGCCTATTTTAAAACTGTTTTCATATGTATGGGGTGGCTTGAAAGAGTGTTTTTCATACTTTTTTATCCCAAGTACGACCTCAAAAAATACTTTCCAAATACCACCATCGTGACAACATTAAAATACAGTGGCGTAGTAGACCTCAGGGTTCATCATGAAGAAGGCATTTTTCGTAAAATGTGTAGTTAATATTATTGTAAGACACTGTGTGACAATATGCTCAGTTTAAATATTAATACGGTGCGTAGAAGTAGGAATTGTACATGGGATCAAATTTGTTCTTGGTCTCTGGTTGAAATGCGACCGCTCTCACCGTCTGCCTTCTTAGGTCAGAAACAATTGCTTTTCGTGGAGATTTTTCAATCATGTTTCCCCGTAGCTTCATACGCACACACCCCCACGCCCGCACACACACACACACACACACACACACACACACACACACACACACACACACACACACACACACACACACACACACACACACTTATTAACCCACATCAATATTTAACCCCCGAGTGTCGCTTTTGGGTGTGCTCTCTCACCGTCTGCCTTCTTAGGTCAGAAACAATTGCATTTCGTGGAGATTTTTCAATCATGTTTCCACGTCGCTTCATACACACACACACACACACACACACACACACACACACACACACACACACGCACACATTCATTAACCCACATCAATATTTAACCACCGAGTGTCCCTTTTGGGTGTGCTTTGCAGAGCCGTACAGTCCCGCCGTGTGGGTGATGATGTTCGTAATGTGCCTCACTGTGGTCGCCATCACGGTGTTCGTCTTTGAATACTGCAGCCCGGTGGGCTACAACCGCAGCCTGGTTTCGGCCAAAGGTGAGGCATCCACCCTCCTTCCTCCTCTTCCTCCTTCCCCTCTCTATCAGGTAATCAAGCTCACATAAGAAATCAATAGAAAAGAAATGGAGTTTAATCTTGGTGCCATATGGCTTGAAAGAGTGTTTTTCATACTTTTTTATCCCAAGTACGACCTCAAAAAATACTTTCCAAATACCACCATCGTGACAACATTAAAATACAGTGGCGTAGTAGACCTCAGGGTTCATCATGAAGAAGGCATTTTTCGTAAAATGTGTAGTTAATATTATTGTAAGACACTGTGTGACAATATGCTCAGTTTAAATATTAATACGGTGCGTAGAAGTAAGAATTGTACACGGGATCAAATTTGCTCTTGGTCCCTGGTTGAAATGCGACCGTTTTTAAACCAGCTCCAGGGTTTAAATGTAAGGTTACCAACCTGGGTTAGTGTTTCAAATTTGAGTTTGTAGCCAATGTTCAGGTTTCAAATTAGAATTCGTAACCAGGGTTGGGTTTTAAAACACAAGCTTTCAAAGTAGAGTTTTAAGACTGGGTTAGGGTTTCAAATAAAGGTGGCAAGCCTCAGTTAGGGTTTGAAGAAAGAGTTAAGGTTTCAGTAAGGTTTCAGGTATCTTTAATAGTGAAAACCGTCTTCAGTCAGGGCTTCAAATTAGGGTTTTAAGCCTGGGTTGTGGTTTGGAATTTTAAAGTAGGGTTTCAAACTACTACAGGGCAACAAGGGTTAGGTTGTCAAATTAGGGTTTAACACCAGCATTAGTGTTTCAAAGTAGGGTTTTAAACCAGCTCCAGGGTTTAAATGTAAGGTTACAACCCTGGGTTAGTGTTTCAAATTTGAGTTTGGAGCCAATGTTCGGGTTTCAAATTAGAATTCGTAGCCAGGGTTGGGTTTTAAATTACGGTCTAACACAAGCTTTCAAAGTAGAGTTTTAACACTGGGTTAGCGTTTCAAATAAAGGTGGGAAGCCTCAGTTAGGGTTTGAAGAAAGGGTTAAGGTTTCTGTATCTTTTATATTGAAACCGTCTACAGTCAGGGCTTCAAATTAGGGTTTTAAGCCTGGGTTGTGGTTTGGAATTTTAAAGTAGGGTTTCAAACTACTACAGGGTTTCAAATCTAGGTTAGATTTTCCTTTAAACCACTTGTTGAAAAGCTGAGCCTTGTTTGAAAATTGCTGAATGACGCGTTTTGCGCGTTGCAGTTCCAGAAGCCACAGGAGCAATATCCTCCATTCCGCTTCGGCACGGTGCCCAACGGCAGCACGGAGCGCAACATCCGCAGCAACTACCCCGAGATGCACTCACACATGGTCAAGTACAATCAGAAGGGGGTCGAGGATGCCCTCAACAGCCTCAAGACCGGGTAGGTGTCCGCCTCGAGGATGCCCGCACGACCCAAGCGCCCCTGCCAACTCGCGTTCTTTTCGCGTTTGCCGCCGCCAGGAAGCTAGACGCCTTCATCTACGACGCTGCCGTGCTCAACTACATGGCGGGAAAAGACGAGGGCTGTAAACTGGTCACCATCGGCAGCGGCAAAGTCTTCGCCACCACTGGCTATGGCATCGCCTTGCAGAAGGACTCGCGATGGAAGAGGCCCATCGACCTGGCCCTGCTGCAGTTCCTCGCTGACGGTAATGGCAATATTTCTCATGCTTGACCAATCTTGATGCGTGTGGTTGTGATTTTGTGGTTCCGTATGCCAGGTGACACGCAGAAGCTGCAGACGGTGTGGCTGACGGGCATATGCCGCAATGAGAAGAAGGAGGTGATGAGCAGCAAGCTGGACATCGACAACATGGCGGGCGTCTTCTACATGCTGCTGGTGGCCATGGGCCTCAGCCTGCTGGTGTTCGCCTGGGAGCATCTGCTCTACTGGAAGCTGCGACACTCGCTGCGAAAGTCCCAACGCCTCGACTTCCTCCTGGCCATTAGCAGGGTACGTTTGTAGTCTCATTACCATTTTTGGAGCCCGAAAAGTTTCATTGAAGTGAGTTATACTTAGCTTCATATGCTTCTGGACCAATCAGGAGTACAATTCCCATTAACATGGCGGAGCTAGGGTGTTGCGACTAGAAGAGTGGCTTCTACTTGCAGAAGCCAAACCTCCAACGTGGAAACCAAGCAAATATCCCATAGTGAGAATAAAAGCATTTTCATTGGCGGAGGTAGCACTTCATTTGGCACATGCAGAAGACGCATCACCAAACACAAATGTCCTCTTCCATTTCGGGGCCAATGTTGAGAATGGATTCCCATTTCATCAAGCGAAGGAATTGTGACTATGTGAGTGGCATCGAACTTTCTAAAAAGGAGCCCCCAGTTTGAGTGAGTGGGTCGTGTATTGCTATGGGGGATGGTAGTGGGGTGGGATAAGTTAGTTTATCGAAACCTAATACAAGAATTTTCGCTTGTGAAAACAGCACTTCATAAAGGTGTCAATTGCTGTCGGTAACACATAGCAAAGCACAAATATCAGGATCTACTGTGGGCCAATGTAATTTCATTACCTTGACGCCTGGGACAACTAGGGCCTTGCGACTATATTGAATTAGTCAGATAACAAAACACTCATTCATTGCCAGCCCAGAGAATAGACCTTTGACTTCTGTAGCCATCAATGGCAGTGAATGAGTTAATTTCTGACGCTCACAACGATATTCAAAAGTCCTCTGTGTATCATAGTTCCCCTTTATGGTGCAAAAATGAAATGTGTGATTAAGTCTTAGCTGGAGAAAATGCATCTGAGCTTTGTAAAGTGTCGCAGTGCTGTTGATAACGGGCCAAACAAGCTCCCCCAAAAAAACAAAACAATGTGGTGTAAAGCCAGATGAAAGCAATAAAATAACTTGAACTGAAATATTGCGGGCGCTTGTGATCCGGGAGCAACCTGCATTTAAATTGCCCTATTAACAGACGTACGTGTGTGTGTGCGAGTGTGAGCTTATGCGCGAGGTGGCAAAGAGTTCGTATAAGGAAGTGCAACCATCAGCACTTGACGCCATGTTTTTCTCATTTTCTGTGTCACTTTCATGGAAGGTTCCAGGATGTTTTGATGGCTCACTCCGACTACATTTTACATGACGTCAAGAAAAATCAAATAACTTATTTTGTCCAACTCAAGATGGATACTGAAATTGTCTGATAATGGAACTCTCATGCTTAGATCATTAGCAGTCTTGTCCAGTTACATGGACAACCAATTGAAGAAGATTGGACTGAACAGGATAAGATATGACATACTGGTGATTGGACAGGAGGGATTGGATAGAACAAGAAAGGGCTGGATAATATAGGGCTGGAGATGACAAGGCTGGATAGGAGGGGATGGGACAAGATCGTATCAGACTGGATAAGACACGATTTGATAGGATAGAACAGGATAAAACAGAAAATGACTGCAAGACAGGATTGGAGACCACTGGGCATGTTAAGATCGGATCGAGCTGAACAGGATGAGACACGTTGGAACAGGAAAAGACAGAAGGACAGGACTGGGCAGGACAAGACAGGCCTGGAAAGAACAAGAAAGAATTTGAGGATAGGACTGGGCAGAACAGACAGAATGGGAAAGGATAGGACAAAGGATAGGACAAGGTTGGATCGGATAGTGCAGGTTGGAGAGCAGGACTGGATGATTCTATCCGATCCAATTCTGTCTAAACCTTTCATGATCTATCCCAGGCCTGTCCTATACAGTCCTGTCCTTTCCATGTCATAGAAGAGGCTAGTTCTGACTCCATCTAACTATCCTGTCCTACCTGGCCTTTCATATCAAGTCATGTTTAGTCCTTTCCTGTCCCATAAAATCCTCTCCTTTCCTATCTAGTGCTGTTCTGTTGCTCTCTATCCTATCCAATCCTGTTCATGCTAAACCAGACACTGGGGCTGATATAATGTAATGTAATTTTCTTGTCTGGTTCTGTCCTTCCCTGTTTTATCCCAGTCATGTCCAGTCCTGTCCATATCCTACAAGACACTGATGTCATCTCATTATCTATTGGCTTGAAGGTGTGCCACTGAGTGAACATGCATACCATTACTGAAGTCTCCCATTTTGCAGGGTTCTAGCTCTCAGTCTCCAAAGTGTCATGAACACTTTGTGTTTGTGTGTATGCGTGTAGGGCATCTACAGCTGCTTCAGTGGCGTGGAGCACACGGATCGCAACGGCAGCATTCAAAGTCCCGACGTCACCAGCAACTACTCGCAGGCCAACATGCTAAAGATGCTAAAGACAGCTAAGGACATGGTGTCCTCCGCCCGGGTGGAGAACTCCCTGGACAGCGCCACCAAGACCCTGGAGAGCTGGAGCCGGCGGGGTGCGGCCGACAACACCCGGGCTGGCCTCCCACCTCGTGTGGCCACCACCGCAGACGTGGCGCACTGCCGCCTGCCCTACATCACCAGCATCACCGACAACCACTCGCCCTACCCGGTGAGGAGCCGCACCCCTACTTTCCCGGGCCACTATGGGGACGCCGCCGCCCAGCCGCTCTTGGACAAACCACGGGTGGTGACCCGGCCCACAGCACTGCGCTACACGCTTCCCACCCGCAACAACCTCTTGGAGAGGACCCTCCCCATCTCGAGCCTCAGCACCCCCCACCTCGCCATGCCCGACGTATCGCCCACTTCCAACGCTCAGCCCCACCACACCGGCCGGCTCTATGTGGAGAACCCCGTGCGACACCAGTCATCCCCATTCATCACCTACCGGGAAATCCAGGTTCCCAACGTCTACGTGGAACATAAACCCCCGCTGAGGAGGAAGCTGAGCTACCCGCCCGACTGTGGGGGCCGCAGGAGGCGTAGCTATGTGCTCGACGCCCCTGACCTGAGATCGAGGGCCAACTATGACGAGCCGCGATCCTGCCTGGCTGAGCTCAGAGCCAACCAGCTGATGAAAAACCATACCCCGGATGCTACCGCAGGACACTACCCTTGTGCCGCCCCAGGACACTACCCGTGTGCGGCCGCCAGCTGCAACTCCTGCATGAAGTCGTACCTCGAGCCCGAGATGGACGACGTACCCCTGCTGGGCAAGGATAAACTCAACCGCAGAGCCTCTTTCCTTAAAGCCACCTGGGGCAACGAGCGTATTCGACAGGTGGATGAGACCAAACCATCTACCTCCACGTCTCCCCGCAACGACATGCCCGACCTGTTCCCGCGGGTGGTGGTGCCGGCCAACGCCAAGGCCCACAAGCTGTATGGCAGCCTGGGCCATAACCTGTCCTGCTATCCACTGAGCGCCGAGCCTGCCTACTTGGACCCGGCCCATATGGGCTCATACCCTTACAAGCAGAAACTCAAGTACGCCGACTCTACTCGGCTGCCGTCTTACCGGGAGGCCATCCTGCAGAACACCGCCGCCCTCCGCCGGTCCTCATCCACGCTGGTGCACAGACACTACTCCACCTACCTGAACTCCTACTCGGACCTACCGGCGTACATCGCACCACCAACCCAGTTCTACGACAGCCCCAAAGACATGTACCACCTGTTCCCGTGTGCCACCCACTGCCCGGAACACCCCGCCACCCGGCCCGTGGCCTACCAGAACAGCATGTTTGGGGCAGAGCGGGACGAGCCTGTTTCGGCAGGCAGGGAACGCCGGCAGGTGTTGGTGGCGCGCCGGGTGAACAGTCCGTTTGTGCCAAAACCCTGGGGAAGGGTCTCCAGCCTGGAGTCAGAGGTGTGAAGAAGCAAAAATGTAAAAAAAACTAATGAAAGTGACCACCACCAGTGTATTTTGAGAGGTCACCTCTCTGTTCTCAGTGCAATAAAATCACAAGACACTGACTCATGACTGGGACAAACCAGGAACAAACTCTTTCAAAGCATTTAACAAGTTAACCTCTGTCATTTTTAAATGCTCATACAGTGCTACCTTGACTTACGGGTGATCCCACTTCGGAGTTTTTCAGTTTATGAGTAATTGCTTTGTGGATTTTTTTCCGTTGGATTGCCAGACAAAAGTTGAAGTAGATCAGCAGTTCCTGGACTGCCCAGGCATGTGAGTAAGGAAAACCACAGTTGCAAAGCACCTTCAGCTTTTTTTTTTAAACAGGACAAACAGACAAATACCAAAAAAAATACGAAATGAGAACACTTGTTAGGACCTGCTTAGGTAAAACTCACGCCCAGACGCTCACACGCAGACGAACTAGCCAAGTCCAATCTCACTCAAAAAATGCTTGTCGCCAATTTCCCTGACCAAGAAAAGAATCAGTTTTTAGAGAGACCTGGAACAGATTAATTGCAATTAAATTCATTTCGATGGAGATAAATGATTTTATATGTGTGCAAATTGAATTAGGAGTCGAATTAAACTTGTAAAGCAAGGCACCACTGTGTGTGTGTGTGTGTGTGTGTGTGTGTGTGTGTGTGTGTGTGTGTGTGTGTGTGTGTGTGTGTGTGTGTGGATATATATCTTCACATTTGTTTTACTTTTCTAAAATGATTTCAAGTTAAATTTATGCCATCACTATTATAGCGACCAATCTTTCGCTCACAAGGGGAATGTATATCAAAACGTGTAATGTGTATTTCCAATGTTACACTACCCTTTAATAAACAACAAGGTCATTGGTCCGCCTCGCTCTCCACCTGAACACACATTCACTAATGGAGACATTTTGTTGTTGGGTTTTTTTGGGGGCGGGGGGTACTTAAAAAGAGGTCCCAGGAGTCTTGGCAAGATGCTGACATCCAAATAGGGCAACGACTGAGAACTATCTACAGATTTCATGCAATCCACTGAGCCTTTACATCAGCAAAATGTCATCATCTTTGTTGCATTAATGAAGAGTTAAAATTTTTTCAGACTTCTGGTACATCTTAAAAATTCATAATTCATACCTGGTTATCAAATTTCATGAGGTGAGCCACAAAAAAACTGTCAGGAAGCCATGCCAAAAATACACAGGAACTCTGCTAGTGGCCACTTTGGGGTCATTTGGAAAATTCAGCCCTCATCGACAGCTACCCTAAAGAGAATGACATTTGGGGTATGTGTCTGTTATGAGCAGAGCCACAAAAATTCCTCATACATCAATGTCCAAAGACACAAAAAGGCCGCTAATGCTTTCAAGGGGCGCTTTTAGCTGGCGACCACTCCAGGGTGTACCTGGCTTATTTCCCAAGGTCAACAGCGGTCGACGCCAGCTCACCTGTGACGCTAATGAGGATAAGCGTTATTCAAGTGGATGGATAAACTTTTAAGGCAGCAAAGTTTCCCCTCAAACTTTGTGTCCCAGACACGCTTCCCCCCGCAGACAAGGTGTTAGTCATGTGTTTAATCAAAGCACCTGTTTGGCTCCATGTTGGCTCGTGTCCACATTTACACACCCACATAGACACACAATTGCGCACAACTCATTAGTTGGGTTGTGGTGATGTCAGGACACCTCCAGCGCAACTTTGATGGATCCTTGAACTCTTTCTGGCCTGCGGACTTGACAACTCTGTGCACGGAAGCACAAAACCACAGAGGACAGCGCGCAACATGGTATGAATGCTTTTTGGCAAACTTTTTTTTGTTGTTTTTTTTTTTTTTTTTGTGTCTGTCATGTACCATGAATACTGGAAAGGGTTTCAGGAAGATATTCTGTGTAAAAATCACCTTACAACCAGGAATATGTTTTCAAAGCTTTTGTTAATTCCAACCCATGAAACTCAAAGCAACGTTACGATTAGAAACTTTTTTTGTCAGGTCAAACTTGAACTTGTTCTTCCAAATCTCAGTCTCAGACTAAAAACAAAGTCAGAAGGAAGTTTTCGAGTTTCACTGGAGTCACAGCATCCTCCCGTCTTCTCCATTGTTTAGTCTGAGGTGCTAGTCTCAACTGTTTTCAATCCGGTTTTTTCCTTGTCTTGGCTTGGATATAATCTCAAGTTTTTCAGGCTTTGCGGGGAGGTGACACAACCAACAACTAATCCAGCGGTTCTTAACCTTATAATATGCGCATTCACCGAACCCTTCATGAGTGAAAAATAAATATATATTTTTACAAATTCAAGCTATTAAAAAAACACATTTATTAAAAACAGAAAAAAGTAAATACAATTTCAAGATATAAGTAGACTTTTTTTTTTTTTTTTGGTACGACGTACGATCACGACAGTCACACGTTGACGACGAAGCGAACTCAATTTCCCACAGCACTGATGGGACAAGCAATGTCATGTGATCATCTGCAGCCAGTGATGGCCAAGCGGGCGTGTTATAACGAATTAACATGTTGAGTCGTGTGTGTCTTACTCACCGAACCACTGGGGTTCGATCAAACACAGGTTAAGAACCACCGAACTAATAGATGAGCTCGAGCAGAACCGAAAAACGGGCTGACTAAAAACTCTAAAATTTGTTTTAAAATGTGAGCAGGTGTGAAATGATTATTTTGCAAGGGTCTTTTCCATATCACAAAGTCTGTGATGCTTAAAGATGCACAAACTGATTTCTGGTTTCAGATGAATGAGATCATTAGCGGATCGTTTTGGGGTTTGCTGATTAGAATCGGGGGGCTCCTTCGTGGCTCCTTGTTGACCTTCACGTGTCTCTTGGTCTTCTTCCGTCATCATCTCCTCATCTCCCTTTTCCTTTGTGAGAGTCCACAAGGGCAGCGCGAGTTTTAATTGCCACTTCCTTCCTTCGTCTCATCACCTCCACGCCAGGAAAGGAGGACGACGCCGCCCCCTCCCACCCTCCTCCGTCATTACGCACACATATTCCCGCTCTCGTGCTAATGAGACGCCGGACAAGCCAAGGTGAAGAAAGACTCAACCGCTCACGTCTTTTGCCACATTGCTTCATTTTTGCGTCATTGTTCCGAGCCCGAATGAATCGCTGATTTGAAAACTCAGCCCGACGAGAGAGTTTAACTTTGGAATTTGGTAGACATCAATCATGAATATACCCACAAAAAAAATAGTATAACACCCATGCATGAAAACATACAAGAGCGCTGCAATGTTGCTTTAACCCTTTGAGGTACAGCAGTTACGACAGTGGACAGCTTATCTTGTGAGCAGGTTACAGGCTGCATGAAAGGGTTTTTTTGTTTTGTTTTGTTTTCGTTTCCATGACTCCTGAAAAGCTGAACTGGTGAGTGAGTGAGTTAGTGAATTTGTCCATTAACTCTGACTTCAAAGAGTGTGACGTTCATCATAACATGAAGCAGGTGTGATCTTGATGTTACCGTTTTGCGTTGATGGATGTTGAGAGTGTTAGTCCGGCATTTAAAGGCATCTAATGGCCTCACTTTTTGTACCCGTTTGACTCTTGGATGATGAAGTTGTTCTTCTTCACCCATTACTCTTCATCAAGTCTTTTGTTGAGCGTCTGCCAAGGCGGAGGCCATCTGTCAGGAGGCAACCGCTGCTGGCCCACAGGCAAAAAAAAAACACACACACAAAAAAAAAAAAAAAAAGCATTTTGCAAATTCTATCCGTGTATTATAAAGAAATAGGAATGGAACACAAGTGGAGTCGGTCATCCAAAACACATTCATGCTGCGTTATTGCGACATGAACATCAATCACTTCAAGCACATAGACACGACACATTATGTACACACTCAGGTACATTCACTCAAACACTCACACTCGCATGCTTACACACACACACACACACACACACAGACGCAAAGACAGGTAGGCCAGCTGTCACAAAGTGCGAAAGGTGCACACCACACACACACACACACACACACACACACAGAGACGCAAAGACAGGTAGGCCAGCTGTTACAAAGTGCAAAAGGTGCACACCCTGCTGAGCGTCTGCCTTTGCCAAGTGATTACCCGGGGGAGGCTGTGCAACACACACACACGCACACACACATGCACACACACGCAAACAAAGCGCATCCTCCAGAATCACGCGTGACTGTTATGAGAATGACGTCAATCACATGTCAATGGTGTCTGTTGCGGCGACGACAACGGTGTAGTTTTTTGATGTTGACGATGATTTTGATGACGTTGTTGATGTTAAGGATGTTCACAACGCTGTTCATGATGTTCATGTTGACGATGTTGTGGTTGGCAACAAGTGCAACTTTATGAAGAGCATGTTAGCTTGCTGTCTGTCTGGAAATGAGCAGAGGAAATGGCCAGTGTTTCTTCTACTTTACATCACACAAACACAATCACATCCTGCTGAACGGATCAGAAGAATCTTGTAAGGTGTTTTTAGCCCCCCAAAAATAGATCCTTGTATAGTCAGGCGTTTTGGGCCGAAAAAAACGACCATGTATAGTAAGGCGTTTTTAGCCCGAAAAAAACGACCATGTATAGTAAGGCGTTTTTAGCCGAAAAAAAACGACCATGTATAGTAAGACGTTTTTGGCCAAAAAAAAACGACCATGAATAGTAAGGCGTTTTTGGCCGAAAAAAATGACCATGCATAGTAAGGCGTTTTTGGCCGAAAATAACAACCACGTATAGTAAGGCGTTTTTGGCCAAAAAAAACGACCATGTATTGTCAGGCGTTTTAACTCGAAAAAAACGACCATGTATAGTAAGGGGTTTTGAGCCGAAAAAAACGACCATGTATAGTAAGGGGTTTTGAGCCGAAAAAAACGACCATGTATAGTAAGGGGTTTTGAGCCGAAAAAAACGACCATGTATAGTAAGGGGTTTTGAGCCGAAAAAAACGACCATGTATAGTAAGGGGTTTTGAGCCGAAAAAAACGACCATGTATAGTAAGGGGTTTTGAGCCGAAAAAAACGACCATGTATAGTAAGGGGTTTTGAGCCGAAAAAAACGACCATGTATAGTAAGGGGTTTTGAGCCGAAAAAAACGACCATGTATAGTAAGGGGTTTTGAGCCGAAAAAAACGACCATGTATAGTAAGGGGTTTTGAGCCGAAAAAAACGACCATGTATAGTAAGGGGTTTTGAGCCGAAAAAAACGACCATGTATAGTAAGGGGTTTTGAGCCGAAAAAAACGACCATGTATAGTAATGCGTTTTTGGCTGAAAAAGAAGACCATGTATAGTCAGACGTTTTTGGCCGAAAAAAACGACCATGTATAGTAAAGCGTTTTTAGCCGAAAAAAAATGACCAAGCATAGTAAGGCGTTTTTCGGCCGAAAAAAACGACCATGTATAGTAAATCGTTTTTGGCTGAAAAAGAAGACCATGTAGAGTCAGACGTTTTTGGCCGAAAAAAACGACCATGTATAGTAAGCTGTTTTTGGCCGAAAAAAACGAAAATGTATAATAAGGCATTTTTGGCCGAAAAAAACGACCATGTATAGTAAGGCGTTTTGGGCTGAAAAAAACGACCATGTCTCGTCAGGCGTTTTTGTAAGAAAAAATCAACCATGTATTGAAAGGCGTTTTTAACTGAAAAAAACCACCATGTATAGTAAGGCGTTTTTGGCCGAAAAAGAAGACAATGTATAGTCAGGCGTTTTTAGCCGAAACAAACAACCATGTATAGTAAGGTCTTTTGTGCCGAAAAAAACGACCATGTAGAGTCAAACGTTTTGGGCCGAAAAAAAACGACCATGTATAGTAAGGCGTTTTTAGCCGAAACAAACGACCATGTCTAGTAAGGCGTTTTTGGCCGAAAAAAACGACCATGTATAGTAAGGCGTTTTGGCCGAAAAAAAAATGGCCATGTATAGTGAGGTGTTTTGAGCCGAAAAAAACGACCATGTATAGTAAGGCGTTTTGGGCCGAAAAAAACGACCATGTATAGTAAAGCGTTTTTGGCCGAAAAAGAAGACCATGTATAATAAGGCGTTTTTAGCCGAAAAAAACGACCATGTATAGTAAGGCGTTTTTGGACGAAAAAACCGACCATGTATATTAAGGCGTTTTGGGCCCCAAAAAACAACCATGTATACTAAGGCGTTTTGGGCTGAAAAAAACGACCATGTCTGGTCAGGCATTTTTGTAAGAAAAAAACGACCATGTATTGTAAGGTGTTTTTGGCCGAAAAAAAACAACCATGTATAGTAAGGCTTTTTTAGCCGAAAAAAACGACCATATACAGTAAGGTGTTTTGGCTGAAAAAAATGACCATTTGTAGGAAGGCGTTTTGGGCCGAAAAAAACGACCATGTATAGTAAGGCGCTTTTAGCCGAAAAAAAGGATCATGTATAGTAAGCCGTTTTTGGCCGAAAAAAACGACAATGTATCATAAGGCGTTTTTGGCCGAAAAAAACGACCATGTATAGTAAGGCGCTTTTAGCCGAAAAAAAGGATCATGTATAGTAAGCCGTTTTTGGCCGAAAAAAACGACCATGTATAGTAAGGCGTTTTGGCCGAAAAAAAATGGCCATGTATAGTGAGGTGTTTTGAGCCGAAAAAAACGACCATGTATAGTTAGGCGTTTTTGGCCGAAAAAAACTACCATGTATTGTAAGGCGATTTTGGCCGAAAAAAACAACCATGTATAGTAAGGCTTTTTGGGCCGAAAAAAAATGACCATGTTTTGTAAGTCGTTTTTGGCTGAAAAAAAATGACCATGTATAGTAAAGCGTTTTTAGCCGAAAGAAACGACAATGTATAGTCAGCCGTTTTGGCCGAAAAAAAGTACCATGTATTGTAAGGCGTTTTTGGCTGAAAAAAAATGACCATGTATAGTAAGGCGTTTTGGGCTGAAAAAAACGACCATGTATAGTAAGGCGTTTTGAGCCCAATCTCATTCTCTGCCTTCCTCTGCCAAGTTTGCACGGAAAGCTTGAGCAATATCTACAGATCGTTTTGGGTTACTTACAAACTCAGATGAAGAGTGCCACCGTGGTCGACTGGTTAGTGTGACGGATTCACAGCAGAGAGGTGCAGGGTTCAAAACCAGGGCTCGGCTGTAGTCGGTAGACTCAGCATGTATTGTAGGGCTTTTTCTCATGACCATGTAAAAGAAGGCATTTTTAGCCGAAAAAAAACGACCATGTATAGTGAGGCGTTTTCATCGGAAAAAACATGACCATGTATAGTCAGGCGTTTTTAGCCGAAAATAAATGACCATGTATAGTTAGGCGTTTTTAGCCGAAAAAAACGACCATGTATCGTAATGCATTTTTCGCCGAAAAAAACGGCCATGTACAGTAAGGCGTTTTAACTCGAAAAAAACGACAATGTATAATAAGGCGTTTTTGGCCGAAAAAAACGACCATGTATTGTCAGGTGTTTTAACTCGAAAAAAACGACCATGTATAGTAAGGCGTTTTTCGCCGAAAAAAACGACCATGTATTGTCAGGCGTTTTAACTCGAAAAAACGACCATGTATTGTCAGGCGTTTTAACTCGAAAAAACGACCATGTATTGTCAGGCGTTTTAACTCGAAAAAACGACCATGTATTGTCAGGCGTTTTAACTCGAAAAAACGACCATGTATTGTCAGGCGTTTTAACTCGAAAAAACGACCATGTATTGTCAGGCGTTTTAACTCGAAAAAACGACCATGTATTGTCAGGCGTTTTAACTCGAAAAAACGACCATGTATTGTCAGGCGTTTTAACTCGAAAAAACGACCATGTATTGTCAGGCGTTTTAACTCGAAAAAACGACCATGTATTGTCAGGCGTTTTAACTCGAAAAAACGACCATGTATTGTCAGGCGTTTTAACTCGAAAAAACGACCATGTATTGTCAGGCGTTTTAACTCGAAAAAACGACCATGTATTGTCAGGCGTTTTAACTCGAAAAAACGACCATGTATTGTCAGGCGTTTTAACTCGAAAAAACGACCATGTATTGTCAGGCGTTTTAACTCGAAAAAACGACCATGTATTGTCAGGCGTTTTAACTCGAAAAAACGACCATGTATATATAGTAAGGCGTTTTTGTAAGAAAAAAACGACCATGTATAGTAATGCATTTTTGGCCAAAAAAACAAACGACCATGTCTAGAAAGGTGTTTTTGGCCGAAAAAAAACGACCGTGTATTGTCAGGCGTTTTTGTCCGAAAAATACGACCCTGTATCGTAAGGCGTTTTGTGCCAAAAAAAAACGACCATGTATAGTAAGGCGTTTTTCGGCCGAAAAAAACGACCATGTATAGTAAGGCGTTTTTAGCTGAAAAAAACGACCATGTATAGATTCTTGAGCACCCGCCTCCACTGGCTAATTTACTTGCTGGCGTCGTAACGGAAACGAGAATTGACTTTTCGCGCACATTGATTAGCACATCCGGCACGCTCGTCTGCACACGCTCGCGCGCACTTGCACACACATAGACACACCCGCTTTCCCAATGTGGACACATTTTACTCAAGAGTTTCATCATCGCCGTCAGCATGTTTGCATCAGAATCCCCCAGTGTATGTTTTATTAAAATTTCATTATATACTGTAACTGTGTGTGTGCATTTGCGTGTGCGTGGGCGTGTGTGTGTGTGTGTGTATGTTTGGTTTGATATGATGACATTTGGGCTGGGCAATCATGAAATCAATAAATTGTCATATTTATTCATCGTTATCAATAGCAATCTTTTTTTTTTTCGACAGTTGTCCCTTAATACATCATGTACTGTACATTTTGTGTGTGGACAAGACAAGCAAATCACTAACGAATGAAACAACAAATACACTAACGAATCACCCGCCTTTGTGATTTTTTTTTTGTGCGTGTCGACAGAGGTCATAAAGTCATTCGAATGTTTAAGTTTGCCTGCGAAAACCATCCACAGGTGGCATGTGATCCACTCACATGAATGCGCTAATTGATGCGCCACCTGCACGTTGAACCTTGGCGGAGGCTCCAAACGTGGACTCTCCAAGGATTTCACCTGGATGCGCGCGCGCATGTGTGTGTGTGTGTGTGTGCGCGTGTGCGGGTGTGGGTGTGGGTGCGTGCGTGTGTGTAAGTCTCACTGGCCATCAATCCCCGTTGCAATGTGACAGCATGACAGTGAGTAACAAACAGTCATGGCCACCGCCACCTTGGCGTGGATCCCGCACGCGCTACAATCGCCTCAAGGCCGCTCAAGGTGAACAAACACGTGAACATGAACGGATGCCCAAAACAACAAAAAAATCACAGAGGTGTCACCCTCGTCATCTTCAAGCATCGGCCAGAGCGAGACATCTTTAAAATAGAAAAGCTGCGATCATGGGACACTTTATTTGGAACGGCAAAGCACATTGTTGTTTTTGTTGTTGTATTTCTCGTTTTTGCTTTGGAAACGACGTGACATCGATGAGACCTGAGAGGCCGAAAATCTCATGATTCCGCGGCGCGTTTGCGGTGATCACCATGACAACCGAGCTGAGTGCAACTAAACTTGTTGATTTGCTTACAGCGCCACCTGCTGCTTCGTCATCCACAATTTTGTGAGAAAGTTTCCGATATTTTGGTAGAGGAAAGTTTATGGTATCATTTAAAAAAACATCGTCAAAAATGGTACACTGCTTCTTTGTATGTCCATTCGTTTGTTTATTCATTTATTAGTTCAATTGTTCAGTATTTGGTCCATTCTCCCGAACATTAGTTCGTTCATGTCAGTCCATCCATCCTTAGTTTGTTAGTCGGTTCATTAGTTACTTTTTCGTCTGTCTATTTGGCATGTTTGTCCATTTGTGCGTTTGTTTGTTGGTTAGTCTTGTTCCATTGGTCTGTTTTTTTCCATTCATTCATTTGTTAGTTTGTCTGTTGGTCCGTTGATTTAAAATTGAGATTCGCTGACAAGAAATGGCACTAGCGACAAAAACGTGGAGGTGGCTCATGCACACGGGTTGATGACGAGCTGTCGGACGAGCGTGAAGCGCCGTGATCGGTGAGATTGTCAAGACGTCGAGAGCTGACGGACGATCAGTCGCGAGCGGAGCGCGGCAAGATGACGCGCAACTTCATCTGGCTGATAAAACGATCGGTCAGCTAGTGAGAGGCAAGGTGGAAACGTATGAACCACCGAAGACGAGTCGATCGCAACCTGCTGAACGTAAATGCCGCCTGGGAGCATCGAAACATTACGGCCAGAAAATAAGTCCGATTTTACATTTCACAATGAGAGCCGGGAGACTCAAGTAAAATCGCAAAGCTGCAAAGAAATAACTGTTCGTACAGCCTTTGTCCAGGAGTTCAGGTCAAATGTCCACAGAAGCAAGTACCGTAGTTAAATAATTGACCGTTAGCATGACAGGCTGAAAATGTAAATTTTTGTCTTTTCGTTTGCCGATAGCCATTAAACGAGTTGCGGCGGCGGCGCCATACTTGTTAGCGGTGATGGCGGCAATGTCTCGTTAGCGTTTCGCGGCGCCAAGGTGAACGCGACCTTTTAGCCATGACGGGCGACACAGGTGACACGCTAATGAGCGGCGCCTCATGCTATACTGGTAAAGGTCGGTGATTTGGCTTAGCCTTTACCAGCGTAGCGTTAGCGCGCGCACTAAAGGCCAAGCATAGACATTTACGAGAAACATCAAATCTTCATGGACGTGAATGCTAACAACATGAAATGCTATGCTAACGAGCCTTCCAATTGTTTTCATCTTTTCTGTACGCTCGTCTGACAGATATGAGTCATAAGCACCATCAATGGTGTCACGTTCTTGCTTTTTTTTCCATCTGCGTGTCAGTTCTTACACGGAGTAGCAACAATGGTTGATTGATTTTGAGCTTGCTTTTATGTTCTAACTTAGCATGTAGCAGTCGTCTGGGACGTCATGCACGTTTGGAGCATGGTGAAAGGAGACTTTGATTCTCTCCCTTTTTCAACTGCTTCAAACAAGACGTATGCGGGAATTGTGGTTACGATGATGTTTTATGCTCTGTGTTATATTATTTTTGTTGTTTTATGTTAACTGTTCTGTCAAGCGATTTGTTACACCGGCAGCTGTTGTGAAAGCGCTATATAAATAGAGATGTATTGGTATTCTCTCAGTCTTGCTATTTTTTTTTCCTCTTTCAATGCCGTAAGAGGTTACTTTTTGTTCCTTTTTAGCCGTTTCAAACAATATAGGTGTTTTGTCGCTGCTGCTGTTCTTTGCCTATTGTCATCGCTCTTCCTTCTGTCTATCCATCTGCGTCCAAATAAAGTCCAAACACCAACGAAAAAAGATTATTCATGAGAACAATAAAAATGAACTCAATCATCAGCCAAAGAACATATTACCAAGGTCAGATATAAACATTTTCGGAAAACGCTGCAATTTTTAGCAAGCACAACGTAAATATTTTGTGTGTGCGTGTGTTTGACATGCCGTCTCTCTCTCTCACACACACACACACACACACACACACACACACACACACACACACACACACACAACAGTTCACAAAAATTGTGACTTCCCTTCTTCTGTGGTGAAGCTGGGAAACCGAAATGTTTGGTAGATATCAACGCTACACTTTTGTAAACTTTCTTCTGTTAAATAACACCAAACCCATTGTGCTGTTTTTTAAAATTATTTAATGGCCACAAGTTAGAAATTTGTGCGCAGAGTATACCTGCATCGAATGGCCCCAAATTGTATTTTGTGGCCGAATTGTGGCAATAAACAAACCATTTGTGTGGCTATTTATTTCATGACCATAAATTACGTGAGGGATATGTGGCCACAAAAATAGTATTGTGATACTTGTTTGGCAGCCACTAATTTGAATGACGTGCTCAGAATTAGTGTATTGTGTCACAAATTTCCATTTTGTGGCCATCTAGAACATGACAACAACAACAAAATTCCCATGTCGTGCCTGGGGAGCCATCAATTCGTCCGTACAGAAGCACAAATTAGTATTTGGTGAACACATGATCGAGATTATGTTGGCATTTCAATTGTATTTTTCCCCAAGTCATACAAACTTGTCTACCTGTGCCCTGTGATTGACCGGCAACCAGTCCAGGGTGTATCCCTTCAATAGAAAAGTGACGTACAGTATCATTGGGGAGGCGTTAAGTACAAATCAAGAAAAATAAAGGCACAAAGTGGGCGTGTCACTTCTTGGTGTCGGTCAGGATGATGTTGGCGGTGACGAACATGAGGCAGAAGATGGCCCATAGCACCACAAACCACACCCAGGAGGCGTGGCGGAAGGGCGAGCGGTGTGGGTTGATGGCGTGCCGAGCAGTCACAGGCTCAACGTGGCGGCGGGCGTGGTAGACCAGCAGGGCGGGCACCACATACTGGATGCCCGTGCCGGCGTAGGCGCCTGTAATGCCCACCAGGGACTCCAGGTTGTGCGTGCAGAAGGCCACCAGGATGGGCGGCACCAACGTGATGAGCGGAAAGACCACACGGTCCACCACCCACGGGTAGGTACCGCCGTCGCGGTGGAAGAGCGTCTTCCAGTTATTGCGCAAGGTGACGGCGATGATGGGGAAGTTGGTGCTGATGGTGAAGACGGGGAAGAGGCCCAGGAAGTAGCGCAGCACGGCAATATCCAGGACGTGGCAGTTGTCTGTGAAGTTGAGGGTGTACATGTCGTGGATGAGCCCGCTGTCGAAGCAGAAGATGGCCGTGAAGGAGAGCAGCGCGTAGAAGGCCAGAATCAGCACGTAGTCGGCCAGCACCAGCACGCCCACGCGCTTCTTGTTCGAAATAGGCGTCACCAGTGAGGGCAGAGAGTGCTGGCACATGAAGGAGTAGACGCACACGCCGAACAGGTTGGGCACGCCCGCCAGGGAGGCGGCGGGGGGGCGCCCCTCGCCTGCGCCGGCGCCGATGCGCAACAGCGCCAGGATGATCATCATGGTGAACGCTGCGGGAGAGAACCAACAAGACATGGCATTAGCTCAGCCTGTCGGCAACATATAATTGCGTGCGATTGGATTTGATGGGGAATGTCGAATTTTTGCATCAAGAATGTTTTTCAGTGATTATGCCAACGTACTACACCACAGTGACATGAGAATTAGATATGCAAAGCCCTCATCAAGGAATTTGACGTAGGACTGTCTATGTTTGAGCTCATTACCTGTCAATTTTGACCTCAGTTCATGTACAGCCTTGACAGAAAAAAAAAAAAACATGCATGGGGACAGCTCCCTACTATCCAGCCACTAAAATTGGAGATTATTTAAAGAAAATTGAGGAAGGAAATGCTTGTGACACTCGGAAGTGTTCTTGCTGATTCGTGTGGCATTACTACTGCATTGTGCCGCTTGAGCTTTTATTTGATTATGCACCATAAAAAGACGGGGCCGCATCGTCGCTGCAGTCAATGTTTTTTAACCAGCCGCCCAAAAAAAAAAAGCACATTAAATACAGCATGAAGTGCCTGAAATGGGTGGGGGGAGTAATTTATTCACTGTTTTGTATGGTAATTTTATCACAAAATGCCATTTGTACGAAAGAGGTGATTTGATAGAAAGCCTAAAAATTCAATCAGGTGCTGCAGTACAAAATAGGCCAATAATAATAAACATATTGCACATTATTCTCAATTGTACAAAGTGACAGGCGTTGTTTTGCTCATCGCTACTACGTAAGTGTGTTGCTGAGGTAGAGTGGGTCAGCAGGCGAGCGGGTGGCTGACTTGCTTGGTAAAATTTGTGTGCCAGTAAATGAGGGAGTTGGTTAGAGAGTTTGCTATTTAGCTAGTTAGTGAGTGACTTGAGTCCACTAGCTGGCAGAAAAGTGAGCCATTTGGCAAGTTGGTTAGCTAGTTGGTTAGGTAGCTGGCAAAAAGTGAGTCACTGAGGTACAGTAGTTAGCTGGTTAGTTGGAAATTGAGTGAGTTACTTAATTGGCAGGCTGACTACTTAATGATTGACAGCATATGGGTTACTTAGTTTGTGAGTGGGTGAGTTACTGAAGATTAGTGAGTGAGTGAGTGAGTGAGCAGTTTTTCATTCATGACTGGGTTAGCGAGTTAATTAAGTAAGCAAGGAAACTAGTAAATTGCTGCTTGATCAGTGAGGACTGAGCTACCAAGTGAGCAAGTCAGTTATTTGGTTTCTGAGTGAGTGGGTAATTGACAACCACTTTGTAATTACTGCCACCTACAGGACTGGAGTGGAGCAGCAGCTAATGTTTCAGCCAAAGGTTGTTCAGTCTGCACAGTGGGGTTATCCTTTCTTGGCTGCTACTTTCTTAACGATGACAGAAGAAGAAGAAGAAGAATGTCTCCAACCATCTGTGATGTCCACATGATTCCCCCCTCCATCAGGCGCTCTCATTCCAACAGCAGCAGTCAGATATCCGTCAGGATAAAGTCGTCACATGCACACGCACACGCATGCCCGCACAAGTGGGGACAATTGAGCGTGCTAGCTCTGTTAGCGGCAGCCAGTGTGATTTATCTTTGCTTTGAAAGCCTGCCAGTGACCTTGATATTTCAACTTCACGGCCCTCTCAGGACCGTGTCTGACAAACACACACACACACACACACACACACACACACACACACACACACACACACACACACACACACACACCAAACACACACACCAAACACACAGAGCACACACACCGGATGCTTCAAGGAGACAACGCCGGCCCATGGGCTCACCTCGGAGGAGGTTCGCTCCACAGGACCTGGCATTGGTGTGATCGAATAATCAGGTGTCGGTGAAGGGTCATCAGTCTCAATTGTAGTTACGCAAGTTTGGAGAAGAGGAGTGAGTGAGGTGGCTAGTTCGTGACTGAGATCATTGGTCGGTGAGTTAATAAGCGTGTTAAGTATTTGTGAGATTGGTGGCTAGCTAGTAAGAGTGAGTAAATAAGTCAGTGAGTTGATGAGCATCATTGTTCATCTATATACTGTATGCCGGCAAGTGAGTTAGTTATGTTGTCAGTGGGTGAGCTAGTCAGTAAATTAGCTAGTGGAAAGTTAAAGCTACCCGGTCTAGTATGTTTGCGAAAAAAATATGTTCAGCTCGTTAGCTGCTGAGTTAGCCAGGGACTTAGTCGTAAATTAGTAAGCCTGATTGTGAGCAAGGAACTCAGTTAATGAGCAAGTAAGCAGACTATATACGATGGTTATGGATTATTATTCAGTTAGCCAATTAGGAGGACACTTGGGGAGTAGGTCAGCTTTTCAAAAAGAAGAAACTATGGAACGTCAATGTGATCCCGCCAAGGAGTCAGAAATTGCTCATTGCAAATCTGGACACGACCACGTGTGGCATGTCGAGGAGGTGACTGAGGACAGCTGAGCGGCAAATGGCGTGACAAAGCCTTGGGACGAGGCCGGGAGGCGGAGCTCGCGGCACGCTAGCTGCCCACTAACCCTGACATCACAAAAGGTGACGGAGGATGGAAGTCAACAATCGTGTCGCACGCGAGGTCTCAACAGCTACACAACCAAACTTGATGCACAGAGTGGGACAAAAGTAGCAACAGTAGACACTTAAAAAAAGGAACCTAAAGTAGGAAGGAAGGAATGAATGAAGGAAAGAGAATGGATGAAGGGAAGAAGGGAAAAAAATAAGATGGGAACGAAGAAGGGATCAAGGAAAAGAAGCGTACAGGAATGTTATGAAAGGAAGGAAGGGGGAGAGGAGGGTAGGAAGGAAGGAAGTGTGCAAGGATACGAAAGGAAGTGAGTGGATCAAGATGGACCAGGAGTTAAAGGTTCAGCCAATGACACACTCTTGCTCTCACGTTCACATCAGTTGCCCCAACGCCACTTTGTGTTGGCGGCCATTTTATTTTCCTTCAAGGCGGCCGTGAGTGACAGTCCAATCAAGTGTGGGACGGCCCGTCAAGCTTGTCAGAGTGACGAATGAGAGGAGAGATAGGAAGCAGAGAGACACTGAGTGGGACCGGACCTTTGATGGACGCACCTCAACGCCACCGACACCAGCGGAGGGGGGCCAGCATGAATTTCTGGAAGTTGAGACTATGGAAGTGCTCAAAAGAGGACCTTGGGAGAATTTCACAACGCCAATGACTATTTCTTCTCTTCTTTCAATCAGTCCAACTTGGCTGCCAGGCTCCACACTCATTGAGGACAAATTCAAATGACTCACAACAAAGTGTGACCTATCTGTCGAAAATAAGTGCTTTCAATTTTGTTAGCAATCACACTGAGTGGACCAAAATGACCCTAAAATGGATGCTTAAAACCGAAATGACATACTTCCTGTGTTTTTTTTTTCATGCATGGCTTCTTGAGAGGGTTTTTTTGGGGGTGGATGGGGTCTACTCGTGATAAAACTGATGGATACATTTAATGGTGCTTTGTGAAACTGGATTCGGGGGCTGAATTTTCAAAACATTCAAAGAACCCCTAAAAATGACCAACATGACACTAAAATGGCTGCCTCAAACCAAAAGGGCAAACTTCCTGCATAAGGCTTCTTGCAACTTTTTGGTGGTGCTACTCCTGATAGATATGCCCACCAAATTTCATGATGCTGTGTGAAACTGTCTTCAAGGGCTATTTTTTTATTTATTTATTTGTTTGCTTGTTTATTTGTTTTATGATGATGGGTGTTTTGACCAATTCAAACCAAAATGGCTGATCGCCTGTAACTTTGAGGCAGCACTTGAGTTTGTTTTTTTGAATGAGACGGTTACTTATGGCACGTCTTCCAAATTACAAGTTGCCCTTTCATGCACCCTGTAACCTGATAACATGATAAGCTGTCCAACTGCAGTAACCGCTTTCTCCGAAAGGGTTAAAGCATGATTTTTTTTATTTTTTTAAATTCCAATGACTACATCTCTAATTTGATTGGAACAGAATCAATATGGTGGTCTATCCCTTTGAAACATCTCGCCTTTGTCAACCGAGGATGAAAGTTGACATTATTATGTCTTCAGTGGGATCATAGAGAAAGAAAAAAAAAAAGACTTACCAATCCAGCGCATGAGTGAAGTGAGGATCTGAAGATATTTTGTTTTCTGTGCGTTGAAGAAAGTGAACGGTCCTAACAGAAGAGTGAAGACGCTCTGTAGGACAAACATATAAGGGGAAAAAAAATTATTCTGATGCACCACTTTGGGTTTCACACAGCAATAAATAAATAAATGAATAATAATAATAATAATAAGGCTACTTAAGAACATTTTTGCATTTCTCACCTCTATTTTTTCCAAAATTATTTGGAAATTGACACAAGAAAAAGGCCACTAAAGCTTCATGGAGGCAAGCATCATCAAGAACCATGCTGATGATGATCAAGTTTCACGGTGGCTGACTGACTAACCATCCAAGGGGGGGAAGGGGGAAAAAAAATCTACACCATTTGCACTAAATGAGCACCATGATGCTTCGGTGTGTTTTGGCCCATCAGCTACATGTTGCATAAATTCACTTCGCTGGTCTGAAGGCATCATTTTGCGTTACCGCCGAACGACTGGATAACCGGGAACGCGGCCAGAACACATGTAAGGTCTACAGTCCGGCGTCAGACTAATGGGCTACAACTTGTAAAGCCGTCAGTAGCATTCCTTTACTGGACGCGCAGGTCATAAAGTAAATGTCAGAGAATATGGCGAGGGGGGAAAAAAAAAGGGAAAAGCTTGTTTGGAGATTGAAGTCAAAACAGGGAAGAGGGAAATCTGGGACAGATAAGTCTTTTTAGGCAGCGGTTCTTGAGGCTTTTTTTTGTGGGTCCACACTTGACAAAAAGTCGGCTACCAAATTTCACGTTGTGAAACAGGCTTGGGGCGCTCAATTTTCTTTGGATTCTGTGCATGCTCTGACAAAAAAAACACTTTAAATAAAAATGGCAGCCTTTGCAGGCTACTGAATAGCCCCCACTCACCCATTTTTAATATGCTTATATTTATATTTTATATTTATTTATAGACTTTTTGTCTTCTACTTTCTCCCTTTCATAATTTTGCTGCTGTAAATTGGGAATTTCTCCATTGTGAGACAAATAAAGTTTTTCTTATCTTATCTTTGAATCTTAAAGCGTCCACTTCCGAGTGCGAGGTGACGGCAACGAGGATATTCCCAAGAGCGCAGCCTCGGCTGAGAGGCAATAACCGCTGAGTCAGACATGAGAAACTGCAAAGGTGACCAAGGCACTGATGGATACAAGCTTCATTCAATTAGCTCCTCATCAAAAAGGTCACTAGCCCCTGCCAAGATGGCATATCAAAGAGAAGAACGCCAAAGTCAAGCGCTGGACTCAAATATCAGCACACGTCACGAAAATAAAACAACAAAGAAATGTTTCGACAGACCAGATGCATTTGTAAAAAAAAACGGAAATGAAGTTTGTAACAAGTTGAGATGAACGGGTTTAAAAGGATGACTATCTGTGAGAAATATAACTGTCAATCATCGTGTGTGTGTGTGTGTGTGTGTGTGTGTGTGTGTGTGTGTGTGTGTGTGTGTGTGTGGACTGCAGGTTTGGCACATGATTAAATGACTCTTGCTCATCATTGTCAAAACAAGTCAAGTTAGGTTTCAAAGAAGAATTGGGTTTCAAACCCAGGTTCGGGTTTGAAACCAGGTATAGGGTTTCAAACTAGGAGTCGGGTTTCAAACCAGGGTGATGTTTTCAAAGTAGGGTTAGGGTTTCAAGGTGGGGTTTGAACTCGAATTTCAAACCAGGGATATGGTTTCAGAACTGTGTTTCAAACACTGGTTAGGGTTTCAAAGTCAGGTTAGGGTTTTAAACCAGGTTTAGGGTTTCAAACTAGGAGTTGGGTTTCAAACCAGGGTGATGATTTCAATGTAGGGTTAGGTTTCATGGGGTGGTTTTGAGCTAGGATTAGAGTTCGAAACCAGGGTTAGGGCTTCAAAGTAGGGTTTTGAACTAGGATTATGGTTTCAAACCAGGGTTAGGGCTTCAAAGTAGGGTTCTGAACTAGACTTATGGTGTAAAACCAGAGATATGGTTTCAAAGTAGGGTTAGAGTTTCAAAAAAGGGTTAGGGTTTCAAAGTAGGGTTCTGAATTAGGATTATGGTTTCAAACCAGGGTTATGGCTTCAAAGTAGGGTTCTGAACTAGACTTATGGTGTGAAACCAGAGTTATGGTTTTTGAAAGTAGGGTTAGAGTTACAAAACAGGGTTAGGAGTTCAAAGTAGGGTTTCAAACTAGGATTAGGGTTTCAAATCAGGGTTAGGGCTTCAAAGTAGGGTTCTGAACTAGACTTATGGTGTAAAACCAGCATTACGGTTTCAAAACAGGGTTAGGGTTTCAAAGTAGGATTTCAAATTAAGGTTAGGGTTTCAAACCTGGGTGACTGTTCCAAAGTATTGGCTCGATTACTTCCTTGCTAAGCAGACCAGCCTTTTCCAGATTGTTTCCGAACAAAGGATTTATTGGTCGTAAATAAACGAAAATAAAATAAATACGCTTCTTTCTGTCCTTAATAAGAGACACCAAACCCAGTCAGCAACGATTGTTAGGCGGGGACAATGAAAATGTACGGAGGGGAAGTGGACGAAGGAAGCAGACAAGAAGAAGAGAGCGTAAAGTGGGCCATAAAGACCCGGCAGGCAGGCAGGCCGACCGACCAACCCGACGTCTTAATGGGCAAAACAAACCGAGTGCGACGAAGACGGGAGCCGCCGCAGCTCCCGCCGCGAGGAGGAGACACGGCGAGCACCTCCATTTTCCTTCCCATCCTGTCAGCTGTCCCAACAATTTTGCAACGCGTGTTGCTCAGCTCAAGTCGCGTTAACGTCTGCGCCACTCACACGTTTCCTTCCGTCTGTTTGTTGTCCGCTTCGCGCGCTTGACAGAAGTTAAATTGGAACAATCAGCTGGCCGTCACGCGGACGTCCACGTCCGTGTCACGCGCTCACTCGCTGAGCTTCATGCGCGTGTTTGGCCTCTCGGGCGTGTGCGTGAGCAGGTGTTGCGGATGACGGGGGAAGAAACGTCTCATTTAGCGCACCGGGGCTGATGATGCAACCTTCACCGGTGATCACAGCTTGTCAACTGGCTGAAGGATAATTTAAATTAAAAAAAAAAAAAGCAAATTTTCATCCCTCATTTGGCAGCACTAACAAGCATAAGCCCTCGTTTTCGCTCATATGTGAAGATTATAAATACAGCAAATGTTGTACAGCACTGATGGGCTGGATCAGGTGCGTATTGGAATCACTCGTTCCACTTCAGTAAGCAGTACGGGATTTTTTTTTTGTACAGCAATAAGGGATCACAAACTTTCAAACAAACTCTCCCCGAAAAAGTTCAATTAATACTTGCAATAACTCAAGAAAAGAAATGTTTTTCTTATCTAATTTGAGGGAAACGTTTTAATTTAATGGAGAGTTAATCATGAGAAAAATGTGGTCAAAAATCCTCATGAGAAAAATTTAATTTTATCCCCCCCCAAAAATCTTTAGAAAAAAAATGCAAATTTTATGTCAAAATAATGAACAACAATAATATTTCCATTTGACGAAAAACAAGAAAAACATAATGAGACCATGTATTTTTATGGGGAAAAAAATTTAGATAAAAAATAAATATAATTTGGACAAAATGTAGTTTTACAAGAAAATGTTCCACCATGAAAAAAAAAAAATTAGGGGAGGAAAAACCTTTTTGAAGAAAATGATGAGGGTTTTTTTTTTTAACAAAACATTCATGCTGATGATGTAATGTTCAACGGTGATCACAACCTGTCAACTGGCTGAAGGATAATAAAGAAAAAAAAAATCAAAAAAATTCAAATTTCAAAGTTTAAAAAAGCACCAAAATGTGGCCATTACTGGCAAGTTGTGGAAATGGGGTTTGAAAAATAAAAAAAATGTGTCTCCTTTCGCAAAGCGTGGTGCTTGCCAGCCTGTTTAAGTGGCACGATGGAAACTGAAATCCTGGGAAAAGATCAACTCGGGGTCGCGGTGGCGGACGGCTCGCGAGGTCAGCGCAGCGCCGGCAGAAGAGAACCATGAATAATTCTGCTGCTTCGTTAATGAAGACGATCCATCGGAATTTCAACATTGTGCTGATGATTAAATCCTTAAAAAAAAAAAAAAAAAAAACACTTGACCCGGGAAGCGGGATCATTTCCTCTGGGAACACTGTCTTGAAATGCAAACAAATCGAGGAATGGATTGAGTTCTTCTACAATGTCTTTTTATTTGGTTTGTTTGTTTAAATCGCCAGTCACTCATCCATGATTGACCTTGAGTTCGCCTTGAGCTCCCCCCTCTCCGTGGCGCCAACAAGTTTGGCACCTACTGCGATTATCTCCATCAAGCCATCTGTACGTCAGACGTCTCCTTGCAGCGCTCGGCTGCACCGCGCCTCGACGTCAAACAACTTCTTCCATTCAACTCTGCCTTCTGCTGTTTAAACGTGCCGCAGATGTTGCACTGCTGGTCAAGGTCAAGCGCACAGGGCGTAATTATGCTGCATTAAAGGCGTGTGGAACTTGCGTCATATCAACAGTTACACCCTCCTCCCATGGAGCATATATCGTGTCCGCAAGTTTTATTTCGGCAAGCAGTTGTACTCAATTAAATCATCTGGATGCAGATGCAATTTTTAAGTTAAAGCATCCTCAACTTCAAAGTGTCTTTTTACATTTTATTTTGTCACTTGACAAAATAAAATGCAGTAAATTCAACCCAAACTTTTCAGTATGGAATTTTCAAAAGTTTTGTCATTAAATATGATGGAAGTAAGCTACATTATACACACACATCAATAAATATAACGTTAATGTGGTTTATACATAAAAATGGATGGATTAGAGGTGTACATGCATAAAATATTATGGAAACACAGTCATCATTCATTTAATGTGTGGTTACGTCCCGCAAAAGACAAACTCCGCAAAGTGATGACCAAGTATTTCTTGTCGGCCTACGACCTATGTCTCGATATTAATATGGTATATACTTTATGTGTTAAATTCAATGGGTATACACATAAATACAGGGCATTAAAAGGTATAAAGTAGACATTAATTATGATTTCACTATGCTACAGTGGAACACATTTACACAGCCTTAACACACACACACACACACACACACACACACACACACACACTATCAACAGGACAAAAGCAGCAAGTGAGTGGCCAAGATCGAAAATGGTGGCTCCCGCAAGGAATGAAGGTCAATGAGGCTCCATGGAATAAAACATTTAGCAGTGAGTTCATCAATCAGCAGTGCCGTGTACAGGGAGGGGTAGGGTGGGGTGGGAAGTGGAGGTGAG